CGTCCAGCGTCACTGCAGGTGTACAGGCACAATCTGAACCCGATATTCCATCTAAAGTGGGTAAGGAGTTTGAGAAGTCCTTCGTGTCTGTGAGGAATAAGCGCCAGCGCACTGATTCGCCTGACGACAAAAATATGTTTGCGAATTTCAAGGATGAAATTAAAAGCCTGCTCTGCTCCTGGAAAACTGATCAAGAATCCGCCCTTGCACTGTGGAAATCTGACCAGGATTCCTTATTAAAAAAACTTGTATCGGAGATTACAGAAGTTAAAGCGAAATGTATAGATATACAGAAATCCTATCAAGACCTAGAAAAAACTTTGGAATTCGTCGACAAAAAATACGAGGAAATGCACTCAAGAATAGCGGCACTGGAAAAAGAGAAGAAAGAAAATCGGGAATGTCTAGTCTTGTTGGAGGGAAAAATTCAGGAGCTGCAACGGATGTCGCGATCTGCAGTAATTGAGGTCCGGAATTTTCCAAAAAATAGTAAAGAGACCACAAATGACCTGGTAGGAATTGTATGCAATATAGGAAAATATCTAAATATAAACATACAGCCTACGGATTTACGAGATATTTATCGCGGCCCCACTAAGCCTGGCTCAACAGGAAATATCATAGTCGAATTTTCGAAGGTACAATTGAAATATGATATTCTTACCTCTGTTCGTAATTTCAATAAATCACTCAAGCCAACGGAAAAGCTACACACTCACCACATTGGATTGCCAGGAGAAAAAACACCAATATATATTGATGAATATCTGTCATATTCGACGAAAAAACTTTTCTTTCTAGCGAGAGCTTTTGCTAAGGAGAATGGGTATAGATTCTGCTGGACTTCGAACTCCAGAGTGTATCTTCGCAGGGAAGAAGGGACTAAACAAGTACTTATTAAATCTGAACAAGATCTGCGTGATCTCCATGCCAAACAGTGACTATTGAGTGTATCTGTGTCATTCTTCTTGGAAGGTGCTTATCTTATTACTATTAAATATTTATTTAGAAAATATAATTGTAAAATATGTACACATAAAAAACTTCCTTATTCACACCGAACATTCAAACACTTAACAATCAGTCTAACGCACATACACACTATACACAGGCGGTACAATCGCCATACCTTATACACATCACATTTAATTTATAAAAATAAGTTAACGATACATTTCCAAAATTCGCACCCACATGTTTCTTATGACGGTGGCAAATATTTTAACTGTTTTAAAAATCTGGTACCAACTTCATGTCACTCAATTATTACGCTAAGCCTACATAAAATAATAATAAAAAAAAAAACAATTTCCATGCAACCACCTCGTTCCAAATTTTGCCCGCAGATTAAATCTTAAAAATGCTTGATTTAAATGAAGTCACAAATGATCTAGACTCATTTAATGTCGCAAACTCGCTTTTATGTTCACCCGACCAGTGTATTCAAATAATAGGTGATCCTTTCCGATATTTTAAAATTATTCACATTAATATTAGGAGTATTAACAAAAACCTTGATCAGTTTGCTGCCCTGGTCACCTCTATGAATCTTCAGCTTGATATCCTAATCCTCAGCGAATGTTGGCTTAAAAATTTGAACCGAGTGCCGCAATTGGAAGGTTATAGCTCATATCATACACTTAATAACAAACTTCAAAATGATGGAGTTGTTATCTATGCTAGAAAGGATTTGGATGTTGTGGTGTGGGAACCCAGCTTTGATGATGGTAACTGCTTGGTATGCACCGTTGAAAAGAAATTTGCTCTTATAGGCATCTATCGCTCTCCATCATACCCTAAAATAGATAACTTCATAACCAGCCTAACCAAGCTCATGAAAACATTGGAACCATTTAAAAATATTGCTATGCTAGGAGACATAAATATTGACATTAAAACACATAACAATGATAGAAACTCGGACTATTACCTTACTTCAACGGCAGCCTTGGGTTTGCTACCCGCCCATACATACCCCACCAGGTTGAGCAGTTGTTTAGATCACGTACTACTGAAAACGAACCTAGTGTCTAAGGCTTTGGTTTTAGAATCTCCGATAACTGATCATCTTCCCATTCTGCTGTGCATCACGCATGTCCAATCTTATAAGGATACTAGATTACATATGTTTACCAGACTAGATCATGCTGCCATAAAGGAAACCCTCGATGAGAGTAACTTTTCTTCTGTGATGTGCTCGGTAAACGCTGATCAGGCGGCTGAAAATCTTATCAATATCATACAAAATGCTATCAAAACTCATACCACAATGACAGTAATTCCACGTAGAAAAACTCCATTGAAGCCCTGGATCACTGAGGGTCTACTACGTTGTATACGAAATAGAGATAAAATGCACCTACAATTACGTAACGATCCAAACAACCATATTATGAAGGTAACCTATAAAAGATACCGTAATTTTCTAAATAATCTCTTACATAAAGTAAAGCAAGAATTCCAGAGAAGTGAGTTTGCTAAGGCAGGAAAAAATCCTAAGGCTGTGTGGAAGGTGGTAAAAAAAGTGACAGACTGCACGAGTCAAGCAGAATCCTCACGTGCTCTTATTAGTGCAAACGTAGACTCCCGTACCGCCCTAAACTCAATAAATAGGTATTTTGTAAATGTAGCTGTAAATTTAGCAAATAAAATTACCGATTCGACAGAGGTTTGTCCACCGACGACGATTGCCCATTCAAATTCTCTGGCAATCCTAGAAGCTGACTCTGATGTGGTAAAACGTATAATTGGTGGCTTGCGTGACGACTGTGCTCCCGGATGGGACGGAATCTCTGCCTCTGTGATCAAAGCTTCCAAAGATGTCCTGATCCCTCCGATTACACATATGTGTAATCTTTCCATCTCCTCTGGTACTTTTCCTAGGGTATTGAAACGAGCTGTTGTCAGTCCCATTTACAAGCAAGGGAATAAAAGTGATATTGCCAATTACAGACCGATATCAGTGCTACCGGTACTCTCGAAGATCTTGGAGAGAATAATCAACAATGCACTTGTTGGTTTCTTAGATAAATATAATATAATTGCAAAGAACCAATTTGGCTTCAGATCAGGTGTTTCCCCAGAGGACGCAATCGCGAGTTTTACTAGTGCAGTAGTTGGTAAGGTAGACAGTAAACAGAAATGTTTCGGAATCTTTCTAGACCTCTCCAGGGCCTTCGACACAGTTTCGATACCTGTACTAATCAAGAAGCTGGAATACAGTGGCATTCGAGGTCGGGAGCTGGAACTTCTCAAAAGCTACCTTCAGGATCGTACACAAAGCGTTAAAGTTGACTCTCTTACCAGTGATACGGAAAACATTGGCTACGGCGTCCCTCAGGGCAGCATATTAGGACCAACACTTTTCCAGGTATATGTGAATGACCTGTGCAAATTAATTATACCAAATTGTGAAATATTTGTGTATGCTGATGATACAGCATTGTTAGTGGATGGCAATGATTGGAGGACTGCTAATCATAACGCCCAGGAGGCACTCAAAATTGTAAAAAATTGGCTTTCACAAAACTTACTTACCCTGAATCTACAAAAAACAAAGATCCTACCTTTCTCCATAACTTCTGCTTCTTCAGTACCACCCAATGACGCCAAAGTAACAATGCATACCTGTATATCACCCTCAAGTGCATGTAATTGTTTTTCGATTGTTCCTGCTTCTAGTGTAAAATACCTGGGCATTCATATTGACACTAATCTAAAATGGCACACTCAAATTGAGACTCTAAAATTAAGGGTACGAAAGCTGATATATATATTCAAAATTATTAGAAACTTGGCTGATTCTGATATCGTTAAATCGGTGTACCTTGCTTTGTGTCAGTCGGTCTTGGCGTATTGTATCCCAATATGGGGGGGAGCTGGGGGAACTGTGATGCTGAATCTGGAAAGGGCACAAAGAGCCATTCTTAAGATAATGACACACAAGCCAATTCGATACCCCACAGACTTGCTGTACTCTGAATGCCAGGTTTTAACGGTACGGCAACTGTACATTCTCAGATGCATACTACGTAAACATGCTTGTGTTCCGTTGGATATTAACGTTCTTTCACGGCGACGCGCCGCAGTCCATGTATGTCCTCCCGCTAGGTATAAAACAATTTTCGCTTCACGTCAATATGATGCTCTATCTTCAGCCTTGTACAATAAGATGCATAAGTTTATCTCAATTTATACCCAAAATATGTTTGAAGTGAAGAAGAACACCTCTGCTTATCTTTTGAAGCAAAACTATTCAGACACAGAAAATCTATTAAAATTAAAATAAGAAACAGTTATGGATAATATAAGACAAACACACACACAAACACACACACAAATACACACTCATACACACACTCACACACACTCACACACATACACAAACACACCACCAATATAATTTCACTCACACTTGTACGCTCACACTTAATCAATATTTGATAAATTGTTTTGTTTCGTTAGTTGATTACTCACCTCAACAGCTGTAGTCAAACCTATTGGGCTGCTCTAAAATTAAAATATTTTTGTAATATGTCGACCGAGGAATCACTAACCCTGATAATTACAGTTTTTACTAGTTTCTGGGTTAGGGGTCCATTTTTTCAGACTTTTATATAAATACCCGTAGACTTTATTAGCCTAATACTTTAAATGTAAAATGTTGAGGGTTATGAATAAATGATTATTATTATTATATATTATTATATGTTTCACTTTCTTTTTGTTACCACTTTCTATTATCAATACAATCCCGGGACTATCCCGGGACCCCGGGATGAACAGTAGATAATTCCGAAATCCCGGGATTAGAAAAATCGACCGGGATCGAATACTCTAGTAACACGACTATATATATTATTATTTAGGAAAATAAGTTTTATGGTTTTTACGGTTTTATTTATTAATCGACTCTGATAGAAGAAAAAAATATTATTCTGCTTCTAGAAATTTATCATACCGGCTAAAATTCAAGCGTAGACTCAGCTATGCTCTCTCACCTGATATCCTCCAATAGTACTGTCACCAGTCCGCCTCAGTATGGCGGTGTGTGCGGGCAGCATCAGCTCTAAACGGGCAGACGAGCACGCGTCCAGGGGACACCAGGAACCTTCCGAGCGGACCAGGTATCTGATGGGGGAATACTGTTTTTAAAAAATATACAACAATAATATTTATTATTAACTGACCCAGCGAACTTCGCACCGCCATAAAAAATAGGGGTTGGTGGTAGAAGAGTGAAAATTTAGGGTTGTATGTATTTTTGAATGATGTATCGTAAAAACATAAAAACACAAAAAATTTAAGATTAAGGCTGGACCACCCTTAAGATTTAGGGGGATGAAAAATAGATGTTGTCCGATTCTCAGACCTACTGAATATGCATACAAAATTTGTCAAATTCGGTCGAGCCGTTTCGGAGTAGTTCAATTACGCACACTGTGACACGAGAATCTCTTATCTATTAGACAAGTCCGTCTGTCTGTGGTGCTGTTTCAGCAGCCAAGCCGTAAAAGATAGATAAAGAGAATATATAAGTTATAAGTTAAGAATAGCCTGATAAGACTACAAACCGGATTTGAGTAACGTAGCACTTCCGGTTTTCGAGAAATCAGGTTTTGGTGAACATTTGGTTCACTGGTTTGCTAGTTTTATATATTAGATTTACTATCCGGCATAGAGCAACGCAGCCAGGATTCACAGCGTTCTCCTCTATCGATTTTGCCTCGCTCTTGGGCCAGCTCACGCAACAAAACTAGTAGCGCTCGGCTATTACACTAGATTGACTCAAGTCGCGAGATTATAAGTAAGAGTACAAAAAAAAACGACGGGTTGCACTCCGGGCGTGCCGGCAGAATTTAAAACTTGAATATTAACGTTGTGCATTTTTGATATTTTGGAATGGTTAGGGAATAATTTTGCACGAATTGCTTTAATTATCAGTATAAAAGTACTATCATGTATGTGGTAGAATACAATATTTATTTATTGCGCTATCGTATACAAACATGACAATTCATATTACATTAAAAAAGTTTATCTCTCAGAATAATCAACTTACATGAATCACGTTTAAGCGCACTTAGCGACATCTATTGTAAAAAAAAATGCATTTTCTTCGCAATATAGCTGCCACGTGGACGTCCTAGATAGAGATTATGATAATACGATAAAATAAAATATTACTATGTTTCGTCCAATATATTGAAAGTCAACAACCTTTCCAATTTTATTGTGTGTCATGATACGATCAGCCTAATGTATAACCTGACGCGAGTTTAACCCATACAAAAAAAATGTGTACAACGCCGATAAAGAAGTTTTCACTTCAAAAACAGCGTGTGTACAGAGTACGCATGTCAGAGGTGAAACGAACTTTTATAATAATAACTAGCGGCCGCCCGCGACTTCGTATGCGTTAACTTTTAGTTGTTTTGATGTGTAACATCTTTACTCTCGCTTTCCTGCAATTTGTGGGTGATTTCGTGAAATGGGACGGAAGTGTGTAACGGGAAGTCGCAAAGCGCGCGCTATTAGATTTGATTTTAGAACATAATGTTCAAATGGCATATTCCTTTTGTAGTAGGTCTCATTTCTTTTTTTACTAATGTAAGGTGAGGTTTCAGATGCTTTTTTTTTAATTCTAAAATAAAAGTTTTTTTCTAATATAAATGTAGCCTAAGTTACTCCTTATCACATCAGCTGCCTGCCAATAAAAGTCCCGTCAAAATCGGTCCAGCCATTACAGAGATTAGCCGGAACAAACACACAGACAAACAAAAATTGTAAAATATATATATATATATATATATAGGTGTATGTATCGTTTATACATTCATATGAATTTAGTAAAAAGCGGTTATTTCAATATTACAAACAAACACTCCAATTTTATTTATATATAGATGTTTAGATTATAAAACCTCCGAATTTCTATAGCGCGATGTAGACTATCCATACTATTGAGCACGCCGCCATTAACACCATCTCTTGACCAGACAAGTGATTGCTTCTTCCATTTCGATTATACATATGTGCATTACAACATCAAACTCCTATGAAACTGTATATATGTGTTAACCTCCGAATTTCTCTAGCGCGATGTAGACTATCCATACTATTGAGCACGCCGCCAGTAACACCATCTCTTGACCAGACAAGTGATTGCTTCCTCCATTTCGATTATATGTGCATCACAGCATCAAACTCCTATGAAACATTCCTACCTGATCCCGTCTGGGTGTTGCTGGTCGTTGTCCGGCAGCGGTAACAGAGGGTCCCTGGTCGGAGGGACCTCATGCAGCTGCAGCAGCGTCAGATCTCCGCTGGACAGACGGACCCCGGTAGACCAGAGGGTCCAGCCCCAGTTTGACTCCAGGGCTTTGCTGACAGCTTCGTCTTGTTCGAGCTGGGGGAATGGAGAAATTGCGATATATCAATCAATCAATCAATCATTTATCAGCAAATACAGGTGATACAAAGGTGTTAAATTATAATACATTAGTAGCTTACTAGCAAACCAGTGAAACAAATGTTCACCAAAACCTGAAAAAAAATGTATTTAATTAATTGAGAAATTCGGAGATTTTGTGTGGTTTCGTTTGAAATTCGTGATTTCTCGAAAACTGGAAGTGCTACGTTACTCAAATCCGGTTTGTAGTCTTATCAGACTATTCTTAACTTATAACTTAAACATTCTCTTTATCTATCTCTTACGGTTTGGCCGCTGAAACAGCACCACAGACAGACGGACGGACGGACTTGTCTAATAGATAAGAGATTCCATGTTTTACCACAAGGCATGCAAATTAAAATAAACAAAAAGGTACATCCATTTACAAAGATTTATCCTCTAAAAATTTCTTTAACTTAACCGCACCGATTGCGAGGGGTGCGGGTTCGAGTTCCGTCTGCTGCCTGGTCCGCATGGAATTTTTTCTAGTTATATTTTCTTTAGATTTAAACATCAAGCAGTTACATGCTTTAAAAATAATAAAAATTATAACTATAATTGCTATTTCTTCTTTTAAATGTTTAATACTTGTAAAAGTATTCATTTGACATTGTGGGTTACCTATAATGCGAAGAGATGGCGCTGCCTTGCAGCTTAAGAATGGCTAGAAGAATTTCGACGCGGTCCGTGAGACAAGCACTCATGAATGTCTAGAAGCTACGCCATCGTCGGTTCGTAAATCTACGGCGGGAGACCTTGTACTGAGAAGAACCGGCAAGAAACTCAGCAAGGGCTTTTTTTCTCCCCGTTTTATTATTTACAGAGTCGTCAAGTTGAAAAATAACTTCAGAGATGATTCATGAAGTCACCTTTCATTACATAATGTGAAAATATACATTAGTTGTTCAACTGCATTTTGTTTGCTGTGTCATACAGTATAAATACAAATAGTGTTATTTATATTAGGTGTAGCTAGACATCTTAAATATCAAAGTAGTAAGGGCAGACTCATCCCCGCTGGCAGCACCCGTTGACGAGCATGACGCATGAATTAGCCATCGCTTCGCTCAACCATATTTTAGGGAACGTAACGACACACAACGACGGTATGTATGTGAGTGTGTATGTATGTGTGTGTGTGTGTGTGTGTGTGTGTATGTGTGTGTATGTGTGTGTGTATGTGTCGATAAAGCTGGATCCTCACCTCGGGCGGTTTGTTGTACAGCCTCGCGGGCAGAGTCCACAGCGTATTATCCGCCAGTAAGCGAGCGGTGAGACGCGGCCAGAATCCGCGCGGAACATAAGACACGACCAGAACGCGGCGGAGCGGACTGCTGCTACTGCGGCCGCGGACCGATATCTCCGCTGTATGGAAGGAAAATATTTTACGATTCAATAGTTGATACGACTTTAATTAATAATATATTAAGAATTTTTGTTGGTTACAACCGAAAATAATAAAAAAAGTGTGCATAATATGACCACACGAATGAAGTGAAATTTCTTTAGCTCCATCTGTTTGTATATGTATATCTATTATATAACATTCTTGTGTCGCGGTGTTTGTGGTTAAACTCCTCCGAAACGGCTCGACCGATTTTCGTGAAATTTTATATGCATATTCAGTAGGTCTGAGAATCGGATGTAATCTAATTTTCATCCCCCTATATGTTAAGGGTAATCCACCCCTAATTTTTTTTTCAATTTTAGATATTTTATGATACATCATACAAAAATAAATATAACCCAAAATTTTCACCCTTCTACCACCAATCCCTATTTTTTTATGGCGGCACGAAGTTCGCTGGGACAGCTAGTATAATATATATGTGTGTGTGTACAATATATACATGTATGTACATATACATATTTCACTTACTAGCTATAAGAGAAAGAGAGAAGAAAAATGTGCGCGCGCACTGCTTTCTCTTGCTTATATCCCCCCACTTAACTCCCGTTCGCCTCGCCCCAACACACTTTTAGTAACGCGTAACGCGTTCGCCAGCTTACCCCCCAAGTGTCACGAGTGCGTAAAGAAAAATATTGCTATATTAACATTTAGACTCACATCAGGTTAATTGACATTCTGAAAAATAAAGTACCAATTGTTGGCATCTGTGTTTAATATGAATATCAGAAGCGATTTCACTATTCCGAAAGAACAAATTATAAAAACTTCTGTAAAAATCATTTAATATGGAAATGATTTTTTTGCTTTATGGTAACGTGACAGAAAAAGCCTGGAATTGGCGGAGACTGAAATAACATCACACGCTAGTAAGTTTCCGGTCAATGTGACATTACATTGTAACCTTTGACGTTTTAATCACACATTAGTGAGACGCCATAATGCATCCGGAGAAACGTTTACTTGGCAACTCGAAAATGACATTTATAATTTTGTTTTTTATATTGAAAATAGCTGACCCAGCGAACTTCGTACAGCCATAAAAAATAGGGGTTGGTGGTAGAAAGTTGAAAATTTAGGGATGTATGTATTTTTGTATGATGTATCATAAAAAAAATATATCTTAAATTGAAAAAAAAAAAATATTTAGGGGTGGATTACCGTTAACATTTAGGGGGATGAAAAATAGATGTTGTCCTATTCTCAGACCTACCCAATATGCACACAAAATTTCATGAGAATCGAGAAAGCCGTTTCGGAGGAGTTTAACCACAAACACCGCGTCACGAGAATTTTATATATTAGATACAAAACAGAATAATGAAAATCCACTCCAGTCCCAGTAGCATGAGCCACAATTACATTATATCACGTCTTTTATCGCGTCCAACTGTCAAATCCCATAGTAATTTGACAATTGAGCGTGATAAAAACGCGTTATATATCATATCGCGGTAATAATGCTAGGGAGGGGATGTATATGAATCCATAAACATTAGTAAATAAAGTAAGATCGTTTTCTAAAGCTTGTCAAATACCCTATCGCGCTAAAGGGGGTCGGAATCAGAGAGTGCAGAGCCTGCCTGCAGAAGGAGACGAGCTCCCATGTTCTGCTGGAGTGTAGAAGCAAGGCAAAGAACTTCTCTACTGGGAAATCTACAGACATTAGTAAAAGCCTGCAGCAACATCCCGGTACCGCTGGGCTTTCTAGGAGCTGGGATGGCAGGACTGATGCCATTCAATAGGACGGGATCTCTCGCTGCCCAGCGTCGTTTAAGCGATGCTGAATAGCGATAGATCCTGGACTGCGGCAGTCTCCTTCTGCGAGGAAGTCATCCTCCAGAAGGAGACAGGGGAGAGGGCCTGCGAGGGGGATGCCTGGGCCAGCCTTTTTGGACAGGGTGCTCCGTCATCCGCATTGCACAGTCTCACCCGTCGAGGGGGGATGCTTCGGTGCTCCCGGGCATCCCCCTGACCCACAGGAGGAGGAACTCCTGCCAGGGGTTACGTGGAGAGTCACCTGATCCCACGAAACCCGTTCCAGCAGGCGAGGGAGCACTGTTGGGTTTTTAGTGGGTAGCCCCCCCCCCCCCCCCCCCCCCCCGCGTCCCTCTCCTATTACCCCCCTGGGGTGGGCGGGATGTGGGGTTATGAGGTGTCCCACATAACCCCGTCTCTCACCCAGGGGCAAGGCATGAGTCACGCATTTTGCCAACAATAAAAAAAAGAACTGATGCCATTCCTCACGCAAAATAAGCACTTGGTGTCGAGTTGCACGCACCTTACACCACGTATCTATATATCGTGGGTTGTTGAACGGAACGTCAAGCTGGAACCGACTCGTATTTATTCGGTGAATGGGCTGACAACACTAGTTACTAATCAACGGCATCTGACGTTTGACATCTGTCACTGTCAGTGTATAAAAACGAGTGAAACGTCAATCTCCGGGCTGTATCATCCCCCTTTTTCTGCATCATGATATGCAGAAAAAGGGACTGAGAGAGGGCTCAGGGGATGATCGGTTCAGATGAAGCTTGTAAGGTCCTTCAGTTCCTTCAGTAAAAGTTTGTGTCGTTGTAGTGTCGTTATTGTTGGGCAGATAAGACACCAGTTAACATTGTGTTTATATATAAAGATTGTGATATACTGACGTGTCGGTGTCGTTGTAGTGTCGTTATTATTGGGCATAGAGGGCACCAGTTAACGTAATGTATCTATATATAAAGATTATGATATACTGACGTGTCGGTGTCGTTGTAGTGTCGTTATTGTTGGGCAGATAAGACACCAGTTAACATTATATATATAGATATATAAAGTGTATAAGATACTCACGGGTCGGTGTCGTTGTCGTGTCGTTATTGTTGGGCAGAGAGGGCACGAGTTGTACGGGGGCGGATCCCGCCCAAGACCGCCCACAGGCGCGCGAACGAAGGTGGAGCTAAAAAGAAAAATCATCATCATCATCAGCCTATTAATGTCCCCACAGCTGGGGGACAGGCCTTCCCTATGGATGGAATAGGGAGATTGGGCCATGACCCACCACGCGGGTGCTAACGACTGCAGATGCAGCCTGGACCAACGGCTTAACGTGCCTACCGAAGCTCTGAGGCGCTCGAGACAGTAAATTTTTGGTCACCCATCCATTGACCGACCACTGCGACAGTTGTTTAACTTCAACAATCGCAGCCGAACGCGCTAACCACCTGCGCCGTCGAGCTCCTCATACAAAGATAAATCATCATCAGCAGACTATTAATGTCCCCACTGCTGGGGCAGAGGCCTTCCCTATGGATGGAATAGGGAGTACGTGCCATGACCCACCACGCGGGCCCAGTGCGGCTTGGCGGGTGCTAACGACTGCAGATGCAGCCGGGGCCCAAAGCTTAAAGTGCCTTTTGAAGCACGGAGGAGCTCGAGATAGTACATTTTTGGTCACCCATCCAATGACCGACCACTGCGAAAGTTGCTTACGTTCAAGGATCGCAGTCGAGCGCGCTTACCACGTGCGCCATCGAGCCAATCTCCCATCCATAGGCCTGTGTCCCCAGCAGTGGGGACAATAATAGGCTAATGATGACGTCTTATGGCAGGACGTAAATGTACCGTAAGAACTTGTGTCACCTCCCCATTATTGTACCTGCTCCACAATAAACGAGTTAATATTACAATTATACTTTTCTTCTATGTGGTTAAGTATTTGTAACAACCTGTATAATACATAATTTGATGAATTCTTTTTGCACTACTTTCTGAAGATCTTTGCTACAATAGGGATAATGACTAATTTTTTTTTCATCGTTTATCAGGTAGATTATCAAAAAGTATTGGACACGTATTTTTTCTTTTTTCACATAATATAAACATTGCAGAGATATATTGATTTGAAAAGTCGCATGACGTCACGTTTTAGTACACTTTTAATGAATATTCACTAAAAAGCATCGTCACGAGCCCCTACTCCCAAACTTTGACGCGCTATAACTTTGTAATATTTTGGTTGATTGCCCAAAGAAAAATTACGTGTCCATTATTTTTTGATCATCTAACTGACGGACTAAATAGAATTTCGTTTACTGTACCCCGTCATCTATTCTCCGATTCACTGGTAGAGAATGCCTAAATGCATTAAGACCACCACTTTTACACTTATTTGAGCAATAAAATTGAAAATAAGTATCTCACCTGAGGCTGCGCAGGCGGTTGCTCCGGCAATAGGGCTGGCACCAGCAGTAATCTTGCATCCCAAGCCAGGGCTAGTTCGAACTTGTTTAGCAAGGAGAGTGCCAGCCCTAGCGCCTCCTCCCCTCCGCCGGCGACAAGGGGGGACGCCTTGAACACGTGCCATAGGTCTTCTGTACGCATCACACCTGGTAAGCAAAAATTTTTTTTTATAGATGGGTCCGACAAATGACTTCACCCCACCTGATGTTGTGACGGTAAAGTCCAGACGCGAAGATAGCTGATACAGCAGTTCTACCTGCCACACCAGCCATCCTCACCCTGCCGACCTGCATGTTGCTTCTTCACGCCTCTTTTAAACCAATACACAAGAGTTTACAACAATACTGGTAGTATTTTGTTTGAAACATTCTTTTGTTTACACTGTATAAATAAATAAATATTTCCGACACTCAGACCAATTAGCCTAGCCCCAAAGTAAGCACTATAAGGCTTGTGTTATGGGATGCTAGGGTAACGGATAGAATACATATACTGTACATATATAAGTATATTTATATAAATACATATTAAACATTCATGACTGGAGTACAAATGCTCGTATTCATCACACAAACATCTGCCCCCACCGGGATTCGAACCCGGGACCTCTCGAGTCGGCGACAGCCATGAAACCCGGCGTACAAACCACTCGGCCACGGAGGTCGTCATATAGACAAGTCGATGGCGCAGGTGGTCAGCGCGTTGGCACACAGGCACATTCTTTGCGTAGTGCCACAGTAGCGCGCCGCGCTATACATTATTGCGTGGATTTTTTTTGTATTTATTTACATAAATTTTTCCCACGTATAATATCTCTTATCTATTAGACAAGTCCGTCCGTCTGTCTGTCTGTGGTGCTGTTTCAGCGGCCAAACCGTAAGAGAAAGATAATGAGAATATTTAAGTTATAAGTTAAGAATAGTCTGATAAGACTACAAACCGGATTTGCGTAACGTAGCACTTCCGGTTTTCGAGAAATCACGAATTTCAAACGAAACCATACAAAATCTCCGAAGTTCTCAATTAATTAAATACATTTTTTTTCTTTTTTTTTTTTTAAATCAGGTTTTGGTGAACATTTGGTTCACTGGTTTGCTAGTTTTGTAATATTACTTGTTTGGGTGTACAGAATGCGTATGTACGCGACGACCGAAGCGAGAGAAAATGAACTTACGACAATATGAGATTGATGTATAAAAAATGTATCTATAATTTCACATGTATCGGTTGTATACGCATTAAAAATATCATTCCTTTGTTGTCTTATTAGAATGAGTCGGATATCGCAATAATAGATAGCTCTGCCCATAGTAAACCATTGTAAAATTGATAGTTCAGAGCGATATTCCGCCCCGTTCTCTCCAACAATCTTATAAGACTTTGTCTAAGCGATCGCCACGACGCCAAGCGGTGGCGCGGGGAAACTAGTCAGAATACTGATAGTTCCGACCTATAGGAGGGACGGAGACAATAGGTTGTCCTTGTCTCACATCTTATAGGATTTTGCCTGAGTTGATAGTTTTCGATAATAATATGTTTTATGTTTTGATTGATTTATTTTATGTCTTATTAGAAAGTAGGTAGTTATAGGAATAATATATCAAAGTTTTGTATGAATCGTGTTAGTAGTTTGGGCGTAATTAAGGAAAATATTGGAAATAGTTTTTTACGAATAGTCGATAGGATATAGGTATAATTGTTATAATAATGATGTTATTTTGTGTGTTTTTACTTCTTCTATAAAATGGTATATGATAGTTAGGCATTAAGTGGATGTAAGTAGGTTTTTTAAGACTTTTTAATTTGTAAACTTTATAGGGCCGCAGAGCTGTTGTTTGTTGATATTCTTGTAAGAAACTTGTTGTATTAGGTAGATAACGCGTAGGGCTACGTAAATAAATAGGTATCACATCAATAAATGTAAAAATGTACCGTGTAGGAGACAAAATCTGTTTGTATAGAACCGTTTTCTGAGACATGTTGCGCTCCCCACCCGGCGCGCCCGGAGCGCGCAGGTGGGGCAGCGAAGCCCCGTGGCAGGGCGAAGCCCTATGGAGGGGGAAAGTATAAATATTGCGGAGACCTATTTTTTGCGCGCCACACCTAAAATATCATGCTTACGGACACATAACTATGTTAAAAATATGCCTATATGTATGCCCGATGTATGTACAATTAGTTTTAAGCTCGCACTAATGTAATTTTCGAGAAAATGAAAAATAAAGTATAGCGTGGGTGAGGTAATGGATCGCTGGCCAGCTCAGACCTAGCATATAAAATTCGAGTCGGAACATGCTCCGACATGCATTCAGCGACAGGCGCTCCTACCATAAGGAACAGGAAGAAACAATCAAGCGGTTCACTCTGGACCTGAAGCCTCCTCTCACCGGCCATCCATTATCAGCGCCCACCGATTTCTTCAATACCGAACACCAGGGGTTTTATTCGCCGAAACTACAGTCCACTACAGTCAAGACTCCTGCGTGTAACTTCCTCCACCCCTCAGTACGAGTCGGTAACTGTCCGCTACTGCGACAGCCCGGCGTCCCGTACAGCGTAGTTTGAGTTTTTGTCATTGGATTTTTTACGCCCTGTATAATAAAATGGTAGGGAAGTCAAAACTGAACATTAAATATTTTTTTTAAAAGAATACTTGGGGTGTTGTGATTTAAAATCTACAGTTGTGAACAAAATTTTTTGAATTTTTGTCTGTTTCTCTGTATGTATGTCCGAGATAAACTCAAAAAGTACTGCGTGGATTTACTTCAAATTTGGCACGTATATTATTAAGAAGTCGGGTCAACATATAGGCTACATATTATCACGCTATCACCTACGGGGAACGAGCAGTGAACCTTTATTTCTCTTCTTTAACTCCACGCGTACGAGGTCGCGAGCGGCCGCTAGTTGACAAAGTATTTTATGACTTTATAGGCGACTAGAGGGTAGGGGAGGACCTCGATGGAGCAAGTGGTTAGCGCGTTCGGCTGCAATCGTTGAAGTTAAGCAACTTTCGCAGTGGTCGGTCATTGGATGGGTGACCAAAAATCTTCTATCTCGAGTTCCTCCGTACTTCGCAAGGCATGTTTATCCGTTGGTCCGGGCTGCATCTGCAGTAGTTAGCACCCCCCAAACCGCACTGGGCCCGCGTGGTGGGTCACGTGGGTCCTCATCTACATGCTCCACATATAAAAAATGGATGGAGGGAATAATCACTCGCTGGAGAGATGACGCTACCGGCGCTGTGATCATTAAGTATGGAAGCCTACATCGCGCAAGATAAAATTGCAGGCGAACACGTAATATCTAATACTAGCAAACCAGTGAACCAAATCAGGTTTTGGTGAACAAAACCTGATTTGGTTTAAAATAAAAAATGTATTTAATTAATTGAGAACTTCGGAGATTTTGTGTGGTTTCGTTTGAAATTATTTAGTTAAAAAAAAACTTTAAATAGTTAATTAAAATTGTGATAATTACAAAATAGAAATCACGTGATTTCTCGAAAACCGGAAGTGCTACGTTACTCAAATCCGGTTTGTAGTTTTATCAGACTATTCTTAACTTATAACTTAAACATTCTCTTTATCTATCTCTTACGGTTTGGCCGCTGAAACAGCACCACAGACAGACGGACGGACGGACTTTTCTAATAGATAAGAGATATAAAATTCTCATGCCGCGGTGTTTGTGGTTAAACGCCTCCGAAACGGCTTTCCCGATTCTCATGAAATTTTGTGTGCATATTGGGTAGGTCTGAGAATCGGACAACATCTATTTTTCATCCCCCTAAATGTTAAGGGTAATCCACCCCTAATTTTTTTTTTCAATTTTAGATATTTTTTTTAATTTTTTTATGATACTGCATTAGTAAATACATATAACCCTGAATTTTCACCCTTGTACCACCAACCCCTATTTTTTATGGCAGTACGAAGTTCGCTGGGTCAGCTAGTATATTCTATATAATAATATATTCTACGTAATATATAGTTGGGCCACGGCCCCCGAGCTCCCATCAGCTCAGAGGAAGATCTTCCCTTTTGGCCTTCCAACAGTTCCTTGAACGTATTGTATATCTACTACAAGTTTTATACATGTATGTATATTGAGTTTGAACAAAAATAAGGCGATTGCGTTAGGAATATACAATATTTCCGAATATTAAAAATTAATCCGTACACTATACTTTCGATGGGGAAGGTCTGTATCCCTACAGCTGTAAACACATGTTAATGATGATTGATGTAGAGAACTGTTACTTATTAAAACTTATCTTATTGTCACAAACGCTATCGAAACAAAACCGCGAAAATACCGGACAGATTTTACCAGAACACCGCTGGTCGCTCATTTTAATATGAGCCTTATGTAGTGCGGCGTAAGGGAGAAAGTGCAACGACATCTGCACTTTGTTTATAACTTATGCGTGTTACCTGCGTAGGTATAAATAGGTACTACGCACTCGCGAGTGCTAGTTAACTCTCAATTTAACGGGACTGTTCTAGAATGCGTCGATTGGCGTATATAAGCGCAATCGGTGCCGCGCAGCGGACAGTTGAGTTTCAACAGCGATTTTGGAACGATAACAAAAGCGATCTTATTGCAAGTAAAGTGTTCAAGTGAGATTGTTTAGAAATATATAGTGAAGTACTGTGCTTAGTGAGTGTATTGTGATTAAAATTGTGTGTTTACTGTGTGGTGAACAAAGTAATGTCAAGCGTGAAATGGCATATAATTTCGAACCCCATCCCGACACGTAACATTATGTTACCACTTCACGCTTAAACTACTGAACCAATTAAGATGATATTCGGTAAAGAGATAGTTTGAGGCATCATCTTTTGTATGGAACTGGGAGTTCCTATGGAAACCCAGTTTTTTCACCTACACTCATCATCATCATCAGCCTATTAATGTCCCCACTGCTGGGGCACAGGCCTTCCCTACGAATGAAAAAGGGAGATTGGGCCATGAGTCACCACGCATGCCCACTGCAGGTGTTAACGACTGCAGATGCAGCCGGGAGCAACGACTTAACGTGCTTTCCGAAGCACGGAGGAGCTCGAGATAATACATTTTTGGTCACCCATCCAATGACCGACCACTGCGAAAGTTGCTTAACTTCAAAGATCGCAGCCGAACGCGCTAACCACTTGCGCCATCGAGCTCCTCAATTTTGTTCTAATACTTACTATAAACTGACTTAATAGAAAATATTTGTGATATTGAAATGCAAAGTCCGTTATATAGCCCTCTCTTTTCCTCGCGGTCCGTACCTGCTATATTGCTAACGGCGCATTCAGAATTGCTCAAAGCGTCGAAGAAATAAAGTCTATATTCTTCCGTATATAGCAATAAGTCGTAAAATTTAACGAGCCTGCATTTCGAACTGTCATAACTCTTTGACGCATGCGTTTTAATTAAGACCTTATACTGTAGGCATTAAAGGTGACTTTCAAAGTTTAAATAATGCTTTATATTGTTTTTTTCTAACATGATCACCTCTCAGAGCTCCGTGGATCGTCCAATGTACCTTTTAGTCAAGTTTCGGGCTCGATTTTGTTCGTGTAGGTGTATCTAGGGTATTTAACATCGTTGATCACAACACCCCAAGTATTGTTTTAAAAAAATATTCAATGTACAGTTTTGACTTTCCTACCATTTTATTATATGTAAAGATTCTCACCGTTGCTGGCGAAAGGGTTGATCTCCCTCACGGTGACTACGTGAGCTAACAGGTCGCACAGCCACTGCGGTCTCACGAAGTATAGCTCTTTGAGGGTCGCGTCATCATAGTGCAGCAGTACTCCTGTATTAATTAATATAATAATAAATATTCTTTATTGACATACAGCTCACAGGACATACAAGACATTAAACATGACAGTGAAATAAATAAATAAGAGGAACAGGAAGAAAAAAACGATTGTGTCTATGACCACACGACTGAAGTGAAACTTCTTTAGCTCTATTTGTATGTATATATACTAGCTGACCCAGCGAACTTGGTACCGCCATAAACATAGAGGCAGGTGGTAGAAGAGAAAATTAAGGGTAGTATGTATTTTTTAATACAACATTATAAAAAAATTGTCCAAAAAAAATTTTAGAGGTGTGTAACGTAGTGTTCTATCAATTTCCTGGGATAACATTCCTCCTAACCCATATGAGAACACTGCGTTACAATACCCAAAAGTTTGAATTTTGGAGCGATGGCGCATTGTAGGTTTCAAAACATTACGTTACAGGTGGACAACCATTATCACTTAAGGATATGAAAAATAGATAGGAGCCGATTCTCAGACCCACGGAATATGCATATAAAATTTTCGGAGGAGTATGGTAACTAACATTGTGACATATATATATATGTACATATGAGGAGCTGGCGAACAGAACCGCACTTGTCCACTACTATTAAAAAAACAGTTTTTTTTCGAATCGTGATGTCCTGACCCAGTTTCGTCGACGACTGTTAATATTTTTTAGCCGGCTCGAAGTAGCCAAAGAAAGGATTTAAAAAGTGCATTTTCAAACAAAACCGGCCTAGTCCGATATGTTATTAGTCACCTCCATGATACTGATGGAGTCTGTGCGGAAAGAGATGACGACCTCCGTGGCCGAGTGATTTGTACGCCGGATTTCATGGTGGCGCCAACTTGAGAGGTCCCGGGTTCGAATCCCGGTGGGGGGAGATGTTTGTGTGATGAATACGTTCATTTGTACTCCAGTGATGGATGTTTAATATGTATTTCTAAATAAATATGCTTATATATGTACATTATATGTATTCTTTCTGTTACCCTAGTATCCCATAACACAAGCCTTATAGTGCTTACTTTGGGGCTAGGCTAATTGGTGTATGTGTTGGAAATATTTATTTATTTAGATTGGAGGGCGCTGTAGTGCTTTTCTACCATATTTGTAAGGTTTTACCCCTTCTAGACATGATTAAATACAAAAAACCGCAAGAAATCACAACAATTAACAAATCCGTATCAATACAAAACTTTGACGTTTTACAGATTGCTGGGTTTGATTGCCAAATGAAAATCTTAATGTTAGTTGCGTTTTTCGGCACGCCCATTCTCTTTCCGCACAGACTCTATTAGTTTTTTAGCCACCATGTAAAATTTATTTTCGTGGACTAATCCGGTTCTGTTCGCCAGTACCTCATATACATATTTCATTTACTAGCTATAAGAGGAAGAGAGAAAGAAAATGTGCTCGCGCTGCTCTATCTTGCTTATATCTCCCACTCAACTTCCGTTCGCCTCGCCCAATCACACTTTTCGTAACGCGTTCGCCAGCTTACAACACAAGTCAAGCGTGCGTAAAGAAGTTTTACTTCAATAAATATTTCATTGTTTGTTTAAAAGATGAATTCATTTTTTTTATATATTATTAATTAATGAAAATAATTAAAAACACAACTGACCTTTCAAAAACTATCTGAAATGTGTAAAACAAGTCTAAATAATCAATCAAGATTCAATATACCTTTATTTAAATTGGATGTATAGTACAACGGTTTTGAATCGTCAAAAAAAAAATTTTCCCTACCACACATTATTGGACATATTTTTTAGCTGCGGAGACAAACGAGCGAAATAAACTCCACAACATTAAAATTATAATGTAACGACATTTACAAATCATTATGTTGTTACAACGTCAATACAATTATGATTTATTTCATAAAGAAAACCTGTTGGAATGATTGGAACAGTTCAAACCTAAGCATTTTTGTCTGTAATATAATCAGACACTTTGTAATAAGCGTTTTTAATAAGTGTTTTTTATAGGATTGTGAGCAATCACAACAATTTAAACGGTACACCTTTGAACCGCGAGTGCCGTATCTTCCCTTTTTGTTTTAATCTAAGGTGAGGGTAGATCAGGGCTTGAAACCGGTTTCAAAAATACTGGTAAATATAGGTTAATACCGGTTTTTAGTAAAGGTTTCGTTCGGTGTGCGTCCGAAATGAAAGCGGTACCTAAAACCTTAATAAACCGGTTTAATCCAGAGCGACACGTGCACGCGTCGGCATCGCTTGAAGTTTGTTTCATTTGAACTAATCAAGTCTCAACTTGTTAATGCTCAGAGATTGATGCATTTATTGACACGTCTGCTAGCGTCTAGTGAGTCAAGTGATTCATTTTGTAGTTGTGTATTTATTTCAGCCGCCAGTAAGAGCGAAATGAAACCCTTTAAAAACCGCTAAATTGATTCAAAACCTATTTGATTTCGCTTTTTAGGAAAACCGGTTTTTTAAGGTTAAGGTGGAACCAAAACTAAATAAAACGCTCCTAATGTACTTGACACTGATTTAGGTTTGAAAATGAACCGGTAAACAAGCCTGGGGTCGATAAATGATTATATAGTTACCGTTCTCGTGTAAAAACATGGTGGCCTGATGCAGTTCAGCTGCATCACGGAACCCGCGCATTCCGCGCTGGCTGAAGTACGCTGACACCTAAACGATATAATAATATTTAATAGGGTATTTGACAGTATTAAAAATAAAGTGCCAATTGTTAGCATCTGTATTTAGAATGAATATTGGTAGGAGTTTTTACTATTTTTACAGGAAAAAATATTCATAACTTTACTAAAAACCCACGATAAAGATAATAGTTTTCTTGTCTATTGTCACGTGACCTAAAACGCTTGGGATTGGTGGAGCCTGAAATTACGTCACACGCAAGTGAACTGCCGGTTAAAGTGAGTGTGATTGTGTGGTTTGACGTTTTAATGACAGTCGTGTGACGTCACACACCAGTAACGCCATATTGTCCAGTGATACGTTTTTCGCGGCAACTTGAAAATAGAGTTTTTGATTTGGTTTTTTTTACCGAAATACACAACATAATGATGAATATCCACTTTTTATTGACTCTATAAACATTAGTTAATAACGTGAGATCGTTTTCTAAAACTTGTCAAATACACTATTATGATACAAGTGCGATAATAGGGATGATGACTAATTTTTTTTTCTTATTTATCGGGTAGATTATCAAAAAGTATTGGACACGTATTTTTTCTTTTTTCACATTATATAAACATTGCAGAGATATATTGATTTGACAAGTCGCATGACGTCACGTTTGAGTACACTTATAAGTGAAAATTCACTTAAAAGTGACGTCACGAGCCCCTACTCCCAAACTTTGACGCGCTATAACTTTGCCATTTTTTGGTTGATTGTCCAAAGAAAAAATACGTGTCCATTATTTTTTGATCATCTAACTGACGGACTAATTAGAATTTCGTTTACTGTACCCCGTCATCACCCCTATTATAATACAAGTGCGGTAATTTGATTATTACAAACGAGTAGACGAATGTGGAAGTAAAAAATTTACAATAGTCACAAGTTTGTAAATAGTAATCCCAATCGCCCGGATAGCGAAGGGTGCGAGTCACGTCTACTGGCTAGTCGGCATATAATAATAATAATAATCATTTATTCATAACCCTCAACATTTTACATTTAAAGTATTAAGCTAATAAAGTCTACGGGTATTTATATAAAAGTCTGAAGAAATGTACCCCTAACCCAGAAACTAGTAAAAACTGTAATTATCAGGGTTAGTGATTCCTCGGTCGACATATTACAAAAATATTTTAATTTCAGTGCAGCCCAATAGGTTTGACTACAGCTGTTGAGGTGAGTAATCAACTAACGAAACAAAACAATTTATCAAATATTGATTAAGTGTGAGCGTACAAGTGTGAGTGAAATTATATTGGTGGTGTGTGTGTGTATGTCTGTGAGTGTGTGTTTGAGTGTGTGTTTGTGTGTGTGTTTGTCTTATATTATCCATAATTGTTTAATTTGCATATAAATTTTTCTAGTATTTTTTTTCTTTAGATTTCATAATAATAATAATTTATTCTCAGACAACATTATACAGTCCATAGAATGTTAGTAACAATGTGCCTTAAAAACTATGTAAGTAAAGTATAAAATAGATTACAACTAAACAAATAAAAATTAACTGTTACTTAAACAGTTTTTTTTATAGCTAGGTAGGCAAATGACTCTACCCCACCTGATATTAAGTGGTGATAAAGTCCAAACGCGAAGATATTTGGTACAGCAGTTATAAACTGCCACACCAACCATTCTCACCTTGCCGGCCCGCAAAAATGCTTCTTCACGCCTCTCTTAAAGGACCCCAGATTATAGGAACGAGGGAACACGTGCGCGTAAAGAATTCTACTTACGAATAGTACGACAAAGAAATGAGTCACCAAATTTCTTTGTTCGTGTGGGAATAGTGGCCACAGTAAGTCGGTGGCAACGTAGGCCAGCGCGCGTGGTCCTCTGAAGAAAAGGTGATGGAGGGATAAGGGAGAATAACTCCTCAGAACACTCGCCGTGGTATAGTCGGTAGAATGCGCTTAATGATGCCACATCGCGGCGTAATTGTAGAGTCTCGAGTTTCTTTAGAAAATATAACTAGAAAAAAATCCACGCGGACCAGGCAGCAGACGGGACTCGAACCCGCACCCTTCGCTATCCGGATGCACTGACCAATTATGATACCGCGGCCCCGATGGCCGCGTCGGAATTCTTCTAGCCATTCTTAGGCTGCAAGGCGGCGCCATCTCTTCGCATTGCAGGTAACCCACAATAACTGGTCCGTGCATTCGCCCGGATACGAAGGGTGCAGGTTCGAGTCCCGTCTGCTGCCTGGTCAGCGTGGATTTTTTTCTAGTTATATTTTATTTAGATTTAAACATCAAGCAGTTACATGCTTAAAAAATAAAACATATAAAGGACACCCGGCATTTTGTGCCAAAGTTGTATACTTTTTTAATTTTTTTATCTGTGTTTCATAATTGGGTAACGTAGTCTGGCAATATTTGTCATCAGCAGCTAGCTGTCAATGTCAAATACGTAGGTTTGTCATCAAAATGGTTTCTATATCAAAAAATATTAATCATTAAATAACTTCTTTCCACGATTCACTAAAAATAAGGCAAAAGTAGTTTTATGTAGCAAATAATTTTGGCTTTATTTTGAGACCAAATTCAACTGTATACAAGTTTAGCATTTTTTCTATGAAAAGTGCCGGGTCTCCTTTATAACTCGAGTTTCATGCTTAAAAAAATAAAAATGTACGATGTCCGGGTTACGGTGTCAAAAAAAAGCTGTAGAACTGAGATTTTTAATGGATTTTTTTCGAGTGCCTATAGATCTACCCTCATCGCCAGTGATAATATCTTACCAACGCGGTGTACCGCTGGTGGGGCAGCACCGGGTGCGCGGGTTCGAGTGCCAGTTGAGTCACACATTCCTCCAGATGCAAGTACTGCGCCGCTACCGCCTGCTGTAGTAGTGGTTCTTTGCTACCTGCAAGAATATTAAACGACAGCTGTAATGTTTTGCTGAGGAGCTCGATGGCGCAGGTGGTTAGTGCGTTCGGCTACGGTCGTTGAAGTTAAGCAACTTTCGCAGTGGTCGGTCATTGGATGGGTGACCAAAAATTTACTATCTCGAGCTGCTCCGTGCTTCGGGAGGCACGTTAAGCCGTTGGTCCCGGCTGCATCTGCAGTCGTTAGCACCCGCCAATCCGCACTGGGCTCGCGTGGTGGGTCATGGCTCAATCTCCCTATTCCATCCATAGGGAAGGTCTGTGCCCCAGCAGTGGGGATATTAATAGGCTGATGATGATATATGTTGACGAAAGCTGTGCACCGAGACAAGAAAAAACGTGCCGACCAATCACAAGGCCTACTTTAAAGGGGCGGGGCATCATGCGACGGAGAAATGGTCGCGTGATGAACCGCCAATCGGGAGGCACACTTTAAAATAGACACGTGGGGTGTGCATATTAAAGTGGGCGCTGTGATTGGTCGATGGCTCCGGACGGCCGATTTGTCGATGGCTCCGGATTAATGTTCGAAACCTAACAATATAAATAATGATTATTTTAACTAAGTTGGCCAGTATTTCTCACCCGGTAGCTTGATGGTGAAGGCCACGGAGTATATGATGTCAGCCAGCAACCTGATGTTGTGTCGAGTGCTGCAAGATACCTGAGAAACACATACATAAGAGTTTTATCACACTAATAATAAAAAGGCGTAAGTTTGTGTGTGAGTATACTCACACACAAACTTACGTTATTACAATAGCATTTAGCAAGTCTACTATAAAATCAAATGAGCTTAAAGAATAGGACTATAAGAATAGATTTTCTTGAGTGCAAAGAGCGTAAGTAAATGCTATTTTAAGAGCAAGATGCTTATAATGATATTATAAGATGCGCTTATATATATATTTGAGATTATGTTATCTGACTGTGCATTCCTGAGTCTGTACAAGCTGGAATAAGACTAATATAAGAACGATGACATTTCTAAAACAATTATTAGAGCACTATTAGCCTACCACTCTCATAAAGTGCGCATTCTAAAACTGTTTTGCTAGTTGGGTATGTATGTTTGTTACTTGAAATAATTTTAAAAATCATTTTACCAATAGAAAGCCGACAAGCCGAAAGACGACCTCCGTGGCCGAGTGGTTTGTACGCCGGGTTTCATGGTGTCGTCGACTCGAGAGGTCCCGGATTCGAATCCCGGTGGGGGCAGATGTTTGTGTGATGAATATGAGCATTTGTACTCTAGTCATGGATGTTTAATATGTATTTCTATACCTAAATAAATATACTTATATATGTACAATATATGTATTCTATCCGTTACCCTAGCATCCCATAACACAAGCCTTACAATGCTTACTTTGGGGCTAGGCTAATTGGTGTGAGTGTTGGAAATATTTATTTATTTTACCAATAGAAAGCCACGTTATTTGTGAGTGTCTTGGGCACTCATATTTGAACAATATAATATAACTAGCGGCCCGCCCTCGCTTCGCTTCGGTGTAGAGCTGAAGTGTAGACTACAGTTTTTGTTCTCAGGCTTGTATTATACACAATGACATTCATCAATGATTCTTCTTATACCTGCATGCAAAGTCTCAGCCCGATCGGTTTAATATTGACAAAGTTTCATACAAACTTTCATTCCCTATTTTATCCCCTTGGGGGTAGAATTGATCAAAATCCTTTCTTAGCGGATGCCTACGTCATAACATCTATCTGCATGCCAAATTTCAGCCCGATCCGTCCAGTGGTTTGGGCTGTGCGTTGATTGATCACTATGTCAGTCAGTCACCTTTGAGTTTTATATATATATATATATAAAACTCAAAATATATATAAAACTAAAAAAAAAACAAAACTCTTCGTCCGCGTTAATATATATATATATATATATATATATATATATATATATATATATATATATATATATATGCATATACCTCTATGGAATCAAGCACCCTGGGCAGTCCCCGCTTGTCGGCGTCGGCGGCTCCCATTATGTTACACCGGATTAGGCGCTGCAGGGCTTCAGGACTCTCGCTCTCCGGCAAGTTGCACTAAGGAACGACGTTGATAATTAAAGAATAAATATTTTACATTTTGTTTTAAACTGCCATAGTCAGAGATGTGACGTCATGTGATTATCTTTTGACATTTTATTTTATCAATGTATTAGAGTTTTTATTTTGCAAATAAGTATTTTACATAGACTAAGAGATATGCTCTAAGTACAAAGAAGTCATAACATAAATTAAAATCTACATTTCAATTAATTTTTGCATGCTGGAACCGGCTAATTGTGCGATCTGACCTAATCATTTAAAAACATCATTGTAACCACAATTAATGCAAATAAATTTCATTTCTTACATTACAATAACTGTTTTTATAAGCAAATATAGTAAAAGACAAAGCAACTTTACTTTTAATTTTTATTTTCATTGTGTAAATGCGAATGGCCATCGAAATGTGTTTAACGCATTATTTATACGTACGTTGGCGACCTGATCGTAGTGTGTAGCGACCATGACGACGGGCGAGCCGGGAGCGCGAGCTTGTATAGACCTAGCACAAATAAACATTAGGTTACCAACTCTCCGATGGTTTATACGTAAATATAACGTACAGTAAAGGTTTGTCAATGTTAATCTGTGTCTAAGTGTCGCCGCACACGGGCCACACGCCACAGCCGGAAGCGCCGCCACGAGAAGCTAGAAACGGTTACTAAAGTGGCTGAAGCGCGCGACAGCGGCCGACTAAGGTAAGGGAGAGGGGTGGGGAATCGCGCGAGTGACGTGTGGCGGCGTTTTGTATCGGCGCATTAAGTGGCCGGTGCGGGCCACAAGAAGCGAGCAACGACGATTTGTAGCGTGTGGCGGCCACCGGCGTACCGTGTGTGACGAGTCCGTATAAAATGTATGAAAACTACAAGAAATATGCCGGTGGCGGCGTTTTGTGGTTGTGGTCGATGGCCCGTGTGCGGTGAAACTTAAAGACTTTCTATGTTTGAGCTACATTCATGTAATCTGTGGAGCAGATCTCTCTCTTGGTCATCGGTGTGCAATATGCTAGATGTATGGATGGCTACTTGATAAGATTAATAAAACCAGCGGTCGCCTGCGACTTCGTCCGCGTTAATTTTATTTTTTCTAAAATAAAAGATTTTTTAAAAATCAATGAAGCCTAAGTTACTCCTTATTACATCAGCTACCTGCCAATAAAAGTCCCGTCAGAATCGGTTTAGCCATTTCAGAGATTAGCCGCAACAAACAGACAGACAGACAAGAATTGTACAAAATGATATTTTGGTGTATGTACCGTATATATATATTCCTATCATCATCATCACCAGCCTATTAATGCCCCCACTGCTGGGGCACAAGCCTTCCATATGGATGGAATAGGGAGATTAGGCCATGACCCACCACGCGGGCCCAGTGCGGATTGGCGGGTGCTAACGACTGTAGATGCAGCCGGGACCAACTTCCGAGGCACGAATTTATTATTATTTATATTAATATTTGTAATAATTCCATTTCGATCGAATCGACCGAAATGTATGAAACAGCTGATTTTTCTTTCGCGATTTCTGCGTTGGTCCCATAATACAATTTGTTCCTGTGTATGGATAGAATCACCCCCTGAGAGGTTGTTGGTGATTTAAAATAAACCCTGCTTAAGCTTCGTCATATGCGTGTATGATTTGTGTATATAGTGTTAGTTATAATTATTAAACTTTACTTTAGTTAAGCAAAACTTGTTATTTTTCTAACGCTAGTATGTATTGATGACATGACATTCCGTATGTGACGTTATGCCAATGTTGACATTTTCTATAATTTAAATGTGACTTGTTAGTACGCGGAAACACTTCCGGTGTAGCGGAGTTTGATATCTATATAATTAATCGATGTAATGTCGATTGATCATTCGTATTCAAGGTGGTTGCATAAACGTAGGCTGTATGCCGTGTTGGCTGTATGGTGACATTGGCTTTGCGAATCTTATAGGATGGTGTGTGTACGTCTTTATGAAGTATTGGCTATGATACCGTTCATAGACAAGCTGCATAGAGACGTTAATCTATGAAAAGTGAATGTGTGGAGGTGGAGAGTTATAAAAGAGCGCTCCACCTTACTTTGAGTAACTTTAGTTAGTGATTTAATAAAATAGTGAACCTTTGCAGAGTTGTAATTTATTATAAGACTTACTAGCTGACCCAGCGAACTTCCTACCGCCATAAAAAAATAAGGGTTGGTGGTAGAGGGGTGAAAATTTAGGGTTGTATGTATTTACTAATGTTGTATCATAAAAAATAAAATAAAAAAAATATATCTAAAATAAAAAAAAAAGGTGGATTACCCTTAACATTTAGGGGGATGAAAAATAGATTACATCCGATTCTCAGACCTACTGAATATGCATATAAAATTTCACGAAAATCGGTCGAGCCGTTTCGGAGGAGTTTAACCACAAACACCGCGACACGAGAATTTTATAGATTAGAAGATAATATGTTCGGTGTATATGAGGTATCATACCTGAGCCACGTGACGGCGGCGTGGAGGCCGCGTCGGCCGTCGGTGGCTTTCCACACCACCAGGTAGAGCGAGCGACGCGACAAGAAGTACTGGTGTGTCGCGTAATATCTTTACAATACCATACAAGTCTTTATTTTTACACCACAGAAAACATAAACATGAAGTACATAATAGGGGTGATGACGGGGGGAAAAGTAAACGAAATTCTATTAAGTCCGTCAGTTAGATGATCAAAAAATAATGGACACGTATTTTTTCTTTAGGTAATCAATCTAAAAATGACAAAGTTATAGCGCGTCAAAGTTTGGGAGTAGGGGCTCGTGACGTCATTTTTAAGTGAAAATTGTACCAAAACGTGATGTCATGCGACTTTTCAAATCAATATATCTCTACAATGTGTATATTATGTGAAAAATACGTGTCCAATACTTTTTGATAATCTACGGATAAGCGAAGAAAAAAAAATAGTCATCATCCCTATTAAAGAACACAGTGTAATAATGGGCGGTCTTATCACTAAGATCGATCTCTTCCAGAGAACCTTACAATGGAGAGGACAAGAAAGAAGCTAGGAAGACGGCGGTGTTATTAATTACAAAACAATATAAAAATCATTCAAACAAATATGTATATAAAACATTAGATACATATATATACCTACATGAATACATACATAGTCATATACATCATCATCAGTCTATTAATGTCCCCACTGCTGGGGCCCAGGCCTTCCCTATTGATGGCATAGGGAGATTGGGCCATGACCCACCACGCGGGTCCAGTGCGAATTGGCGGGTGCTAACGACTGCAGATGCAGCCGGGACCAATGGCTTAACGTGCCTTCCGAAGCACGGAGGAGCTCGAGATAGTAAATTTTTGGTCACCCATCCAATGACAGACCACTGCGAAAGTTGCTTAACTTCAACGGTCGCAGCCGAACGCGCTAACCACTTGCGCCATCGAGCTCCTCTATACACATAAATAAATACGTATATAAATAAATATATACATAAATACATACATACTAATGTCTAATTCATTCAGCTAAGATCAACAAAAATTGAAGGCTTACAAGGACATATAGTGAAATCTAACAAGGTTTTTGAAAATGTGGAGAGATTTTGCACGTCTTATAGAAACTGGAAGAGCATTCCATCTTTACGACAGACATAACAAATTGACTTTAATGTTATAGCTATTAACGGGATTGTTACCATGTACCTTGTTTTTCATGAGTCTCCGATATTTCGGCACTGTTGCAAGCGCCATGATCACGGAGTAACTGAAGTAATTGCGGGTAGATGTTATTGACAGACATATCGGTCTACCCTCCGACGTATTCTTTTACTGCGCTCTATTCCATAAAAAACAAGGTACATGGTAACGATCCCGTTAATAGCTTAGATTAAAACAAAAAGGGTAGATACGGCACTAGCCTCACAAAAGTGATCCACACCAATTGTGGTCCACGACCCTAATCGCTTTAGTCACAACTTGACATACAAACGACGTACATGTGAACGCCAAAAATAAATATTGCTAATATTTTGTGTTTATATGATAAAACAATGCCTAAGTGTGTTTTTAAAAAGTGCTCAAATTGCTCAAGTACTAAAAATAAAACCCAAGGCATCACTTTTCATTCGTAAGTACTATAAAATATATTTTTTCATAAAAAATGCTGTTTGTTTTGAATCTTATTCGGTAGTGACGTCGAGTACTGGTCGCGTGATTGGTCGGTAATGCAGTGACGCGGATCTCGCCGTCTCGTTCGCGCTGCCGTTGAAACTTAACGTGCTGTTTCGTTCGGGTCGGTAATGCAGTGACGCGGATCTCGCCGTCACGTTCGCGCTGCCGTGGTATCAGTTTTTGTTAGATGCAAGTATGAGCGTACCGTATCTACCCTTTTTGTTTTAATCCTCGAAGTTTCACTTCAAAAATGAGATTACAGTTTTTGAATTGAACTCACTCCTGCTGCCCGCCAAAGTCCCACGTGCGGAAGGTCACAGGCCCACGCTTGGACCTCTGCTTCTCGTAGACCCACGCGCCGATGTCCACGCCCACGGTGGACAGGTTGCGGCGGCTGCCCTTGTTGCCCATACGCTTGGCCCAATGCTAGGGATGTCGAAAGTTGAAAAAAATATCGATACCGAGTAACTGCGGGTTACTTTGACCTAAAATGTGCACTTTTTTTTAAATAAAATTGTAGCTTCTCTTTGTGATGAATATGTCACGTTTATATCTTTCCACTGTGAACTTTAAAGTATAAGTAACAAAGTTATCATACGAAAATAGGAAAAAATAATATTTAAGGGTTCATATATACTGTTTTAATTTTGGGCCAAAGTTGGCCTTAAAGAGGGTTACTTTAGCGCGTTGAGTTTTCTCTGTGAAAAAAAAAACATTTTAAGCCATGTTGGGGGTAAGTAACCCTTATAACAGATCACCATTAGCATACTGAATACACAAAAAGATGTTTTTACCTGAAAATAATTAAGTTAAAGAAAAAATTGTAAACTTACTGAAAACCACAGTTTTGAGAAAGTTTGCGCATGAACTTGCGAACTATTTCAGTTACAAAAAATCCCGCGTTACAATGACAACTTGATACAGGAACGATGTCGGTAAAACAACACCACACTGCGCGCCTATATGGCTATCTGTGATTTTCAACTGGAACTATTACGGTCACCCAAGAGATACTGATGGGGCGGCAAGTTCAATATTTTTTCTGATTTGGGACAAAGTTACCCGCCCGAGCTAAAGTAACCCTCACTTACGGTATATCGATACATCGATATTTTAAAAAATATCAATATCGGCTTTGATATATCGCGAAAAATACATCGATGTATCGATATATCGGACCAATTTTCCCAAAAATATATTTAGGTCAGCCTAGCACAGTAATAAAAGTTCAATACAAATTATAATTAAAGAAAGAATTATCAAAGTACCAAATTGCCGCTACACTACATGACAGTACAGTATCTCACGAAATATGACACGCGGAATAATAATGGAACGAAAATTATCTCCCTAAAAATAGACCCTATTTTCGAATGATGAAAATGATTACAGGGCCTCTCAGGTGCCATCTTTCGTGAACAAGACTAGACAGTCACACACTTCCACAGAATATAATGGAAATCAGCACAACCAGTTCACCAGCGAAACAGATTTACAAATAATAGACAATACTAAATACAGCACAGATCATAGATATGTTGAATATCATTAATCTGAGATCCAGTTACGATTTTTCCAGATACGAATTTAGTTACATTGTGATATGCCGCTAATAATTAAAAAAATATCGTTTTTGATACGAATTTCGATATTAGTTATTTTGTATCGATGTATCGATATATCGAATCAAAATATATCGGCAAAAAATATGGATATATCGATACATCGATATATTTTCAACAAGCCTATGCTGGGCATTAGGGGGCGTCCATAAATTACGTGAGGTGTTTTTTTGAATTTTCTGTCCCTCCCTCCCCCCCTGGTGAGATGTCGTGATATTTTTTTCAACCCCCTCCCCCATCCCCCAATCTCACGTGAGATTTTCAAAATTTGGGTTTCTTACTTAAATGCGTTGGATTGTTATTGTTAAAATAAAAAAGAGGCTTCGTGCTTTTATTTACGACTAGTTAAGACTAGTAATCAATATTGCTGAGAGTTATTTCTTTCGAACGAAATAGTGAATGATCTTAATCGTATTACGATTACGCTTAAGATTAAATTTTAAGCATGTACAATCTGGATTAAATGGACCAAAATAGTATATTTTTTTTGTTTCAATCAGAAAAAAATTGCGTGATATTTGACTCGACCCCCCCTGTCTCCAACGTAAGATTAGATGAGATTTGACTCGACCCCCTCCCCCCCTTAAACATCACACGTAATTTATGGACGCCCCCTTACCAAAATACATATAATAATAATAATAATAATCTTTATTGTATAACACCACAAAGGACATCACAGTAAGATCACACTGACAGAGAGACATTACACAATGGGCGGCCTTATTGCTTAATAGCAATCTCTTCCAGGCAACCCATGACGGAAAATTAAATAAGTATATAAGAACAAAAAAAGGGGGGGGGGGGTGGGGGAAGGGTGTAAGAGCAATATTATAAAATAATACATATCATCATCTGCCCTAGCTTACATAGTCTTCATTTTTGACGACCCCCGTGGCCGAGTGGTTTGTACACGGGCTTTCAAGGCGTCTCCTACTCGAGAGGACCCGAGTTCGAATCCCGGTGGGGGTAGATGTTTGTGTGATGAATACGAGCATTTATACTTCAGTCATGGATGTTTAGTATGTATTTCTATAAAAACATACATATATATGTATTCTATCCGTTATCCCAGTATCCCATAACACAAGCATACAGTACTTACTTTGGGGCTAGGCTAATTGGTGTGTTGGAACTATTTATTATTATTATAATAATACCTGCTTATAATATGTATAAACAATGATTGTATGTTTCAGAGAGACTGAACGAAGTTAGTATCTCAGTGATTCAGTACACCCCCCTCTTCGTAAAGTGACTGTATTTAGTTAATAGTGTATGTTTCTACATTAAATACATGTAAAAGAATACACGACGTCCCACGGCTACCTCACACGGAGGGAAGCTGTATTAAATATTGAATATAGGATATTTTACTGAAAGAAGACATCATTTTATTTTTAATAATAACTATAACTGCTTAAACAGATTTTTTTTAAATCGCCTGCTACAACTGGGAATCAAACTCGTGAAATTTTGAAAAAATAAACACAACATATTTTATGAAAAACATCGAAAGGGTTAATCATAAGGATTATTTTTTGCTAAATAACATAGCATTTAAAATGAAAGGAATGTCTTATTACGTGATAAAAATAATAAAATGATATACAAACTGTTGTATGTTTGCATTTTTTTTTGAACTCACAGTTACAATACGATTGGCTGAAATTTATTAAAAATAATAATTCGAAAATGGAACACAAATTTTCAAGCGTTTGTTCTTTTGTTAATAATGATTTGATTCGTTAATCTTATTTTTATGAACTGTAATGAGAGACTACGAAATTACGAATTACACTTTATGGAAAAAGCGAACAGTTATGCGTTATTATATTAACAAAATTTAATACATAAAAAATAAGTATTTAATTGACAATTCCTCAAACTGAAGACGTCAAAAATTAGTGATAATGTAAATGTAACAATTTCAGAATAGAAAATAATAGGGTTTCTAGACAAATTATCTTGAAACAATAACAGTATTTGTGACTCACCTCTGTTGGTTTCCTTCGGTGGTGTATTGCAGATTCTTGGCGCAAACATTCCAGCAGACTCGTCTTGCCGATGCCCTGCGTAAATTACACTAAAAGTTAATAAATGAAAAAATAACTCCACCCGTGCAAGTTGTACTGATACAAGAAACGTTCAAAAGATCAAACACTAAAAAGTACATGAAATTAGCAAAGAGGTGATCCGCATGTATCTTCAAGACATTTCCTTTGAGTACGTTTAACAGTGGCCCAAACATAGATCCTTGAGGTACACCATATAAAAAAAAACATTATGTCTCTCCATCTAAGATTTATTTCATCTGAGCAAGTTCCCTTAATTTTAATTAATTAATTATTGATAAAAAAAAACTTCTATCCAATTTTTCGATGTCCGCTACTTTACTGAAGGCTTTGGCGTGATCTTAAATTATAAAAAAATAAAAAGTATTTCCCAATGCATAGGATGTATTAGGAAAAAAATTACTTTCCGTCAACAACATTAAAAAAAATGCTTTCTATAGTAATAATATTTATTGCACATCAATAGTATTACGGGGTATTTAAGGTTTTCATCAGACGGCATATCAATTCAGTTTGACTCACCCAAGGGCATAGCATTTCTTTAAAACGATAACTAGCTCACCCAGCGAACTTCGTGCCGCCATTAAATAGGCATTGGTGTTAGAAAGATGAAAATAGGGCTGTATGTATTTTTTAATGCCGCATCACTAAAGAAAAATACATTTTGTCGAAAAAAATTGGGTTGAGCCCTTATCTCTTACGGGCATGAAAAATAGTTTTGCGCTATTCTTGGACCTACTGAATATACATACAAAGATTCAAGAAATACGGTATTTGACAGTATTAAAAATAAAGTGCCAATTGTTGGCATCTGTGTTTAGAATGAATATTGGCAGGGGTTTTTACTATTTTTACAAAAAAAAATTCATAATTTTACTAAAAACCCACGAAAAAGATAATAGTTTTCTTATCTATTGTCACGTGACCCAAAACGCTTGGGATTGGTGGAGCCTAAAATGACGTCTCACGCAACTAAACTTCCGGTTAAAGTGTCATTACATTGTATCGTTTGACGTTTTAATAACAGTCGTGTGCCGTCACACACTAGTAAGACGCCATATTGTCCAGAGAAACGTTTTCGCGGCCACTTGAAATTGGAGTTTTTGATTTAGTTATTTTTACTAAAATACGCAACAGAATGATGAATACCCACTTTTTACGGACTCCATAAACATTAATCAATAACGTGAGATCGTCGAGAAAGCTTTTCAAATACCCTATTCTGCGGATCTTTCGTTTCTGTGGAGTTTCGTTACAAACACTGTGACACGAGAATTTTATATTATTAGAAGATACAAAGGTTATGATTCTAGCATATGGAAGGAACTAGAGACCTAGGACTCACCTGTTGCCCGCACAGCATCAGCTTGATCTTCGGATAGGGTTTGGCGTGATGCAGTGCCGCCTGCAGATGGCGTAGCAGTGCCGACGTGGAGGACCGGCCTCCCCCTCCGCGGGGCATGAGGAGAGATTGTAGAGGCTCTTGAAGGGAACATCCTGTGGCCGTGATGCTCCAGAGACGTGATAGCATACCCATTTGGGGAGGCAAGTCCGTTATATCTGGTGTGAAAATCGATTCAAAATCAAATTGCTGTATGCGGAAACGTGAATTCAGTTTTGAATATGACTGAAGCTGGTTATTTTTTTATGCAAGAAATTAAAATAAGACGTTCAATTCTAAAGAAAATATAACTAGAAAAAATTCCACGCGGACCAGGCAGCAGACGAGACTCGAACCCGCACCCTTCGCAATCCGGGCGAATGTACTAACCAATTATGCTACCGCGGCCCTTAACGACCGCGTCGAAATTCCTCTAGCCATTCTTAAGCTGCAAGGCAGCGCCATCTCTTCGCATTATAGGTAACCCACAATGGCAAATGAATACTTTTACAAGTATTAAACATTTGAAAGAAGAAATAGCAATTACAGTTATTTATTTTTTAACCAATTATGCTACCGCGGCCCTCACGGTGTGAGTGCATTCGCCCGGATTGCGAAGGGTGCGGGTTCGAGTCCCGTCTGCTGCCTGCCTGGTCCGCGTGGAATTTTTTCTAGTTATATTTTCTTTAGATTTAACCATCAAACAGTTACATGCTTTAAAAAAAATAAAAATTATAAGATGTTCAATTTTTTATTGTTTATTGCTGAGAACTACCTCCACGAGCGAGTGTCGCGAGTAAACCCCTACCAATATTCATTCTAAACACGGATGCTAACAACTGGCACTTTATTTTTAATACTGTCAAATACCCTATTGCAGGGTAGGCGAACCAATGGCACGCGTGCCATTGATGGCACGCGACACAATATTTTGGGCACGTCGCCAATCATAAAACATGTGTAAAAAATGTTTTAAGTAGGTATTTTATGACGATCGAACGCGAGTGATCCTACGCTACGAAGTAACTGTTTGAAGAAGTTAGCACATGCTATTTTAACAATGTTTTCATCTACCTATGCCTGCGAGTCATTGTTTTCAGAGATGAATAACATTAAAAACTCGTTTAGAAATCGATTGACAGATGAATCCAGTTCAGCATGCATTTTGCTAAAAGTAGCATCTTACAACCCTAACATAAATTATTTGTTATCAAACCTGCAGCAACAGAAGTCACACTAATTTTACAGTAATTTAATTTATGCATGTAATAAAAACATTCCAGAATGTGCCTCTTTGGTTTACTTTATTTCATAAAGAGTTTTGATAGTATTTATATTATTATCTTCTAAATAATCATAAAGTCAAAATTATTTGATGGCATGCCAATGACCCAATTAAAGATTTTTTAGAAAAAATGGCACGTTGATTCATAAAGGTTCGCCTACCCTGCCCTATTGCGTGTAAAAATTTCAAAATTCGTTCAAAAATTGCACTTACCCTTGTTCCCGCTGATGTTGAGCACGGCGAGGTTGGCCAGCGCGTGGATGGCGGGCGGCACCTGCCGCAGCATGTTGCACGACACGTCCAGCATCGACAGTAGGGGGAACACGAGGCGAGATCTGAGGCCGGTGCCTGAACCGTCCTGGGTAAGGGGAGAAAAGGCATTATTATATACAGGGTGTAAAATAACCGATAACGAAGTCGAAGGCCACGTATTTTCCACATCAGAACGATCATTTTTTTGTTCTGGACCATATCTGGCAAATTTATTGTTACGGAGATATTGAAGGTCAAAGCCAAAATATTTTTTCAAGATTTAAGGTCTCTGCCGACTATACCGTTTCATACCATGAACGTGCTAGGACCGTATCAAACACGGAAACTGACACGAAACGGCTTGCTATGTCCACTGAAACGGATCGACGGCGTATAATGCCCGTATGTTGCCGGTGTGCACCCCGTATGATGCCCGTATGCGACCCATATGCATCCCGTATGTTGCCTTTGCGTAATTTGTATGACGTCTTCACCAAAGTCGATAAGAAGCCGTTTCATTCTTACATGTGCATCGATAATGAATGGACGTCTGCGGAGTGCTATCAAGTTTTAAATACAATAGGTATGGCTATTAAAACATTAACTGTTAGACAACTGGCAATGATTGCCATATTGGATGAGGAAAAAGAACAGATTCAAAATCACCACTCGACGCTACTGGATTCACGATTCTATAAAAGAACGAAAAACTGAAGGAGAATTTTGGACATTGTATAATCACTTAATTGAAGATGTAGAAAAGTTCTTTCAGTACTTGCGGCGTTTAAGACGCCTATATAACGGTCATCATACGCGGTCCTAACCCGTATAGTCACCGTTTTGTTGCCTGCGCGCATCGGTTTTGCAACGTCGCGTGCCATGCGCGGAGCGTATCGGCACCGTCAAAATATTCTCGCCGACAATAGTAGCCGCTCCGTGCATGGCACGCGACTGTGCTGGTCGGTGACGGAACGGGCTAGTGGGCACTGACTCATACTTTTTAATACAAAGAATATTCTTTTGCCTGACACGTTCATAGCACGGTTATGGTATGATACTGTGTAGTGGGTGTGTACCTTTATACATTAATAATTTCAGAACGTTTTTAGAAACTTTTTGAAGTTATACTTCTTTAGGCGCGTTATGAAAAAATAATGAGAGTGAAATTTTTAGATGCGCGCGCATCACTGTAACCCAAAAGTAACAGCATGAAGTTGGCCGCGGGCGCGTTATGAATGTTAGTGTCTTAAATGGTGGATTATTAACCACTAGGTGGTTAATTATTTAGATACATTATTAGACATCTGTTCGAAAGGTACTTTGAACGATCCACGGAGCTCCATAAGATGATCGCGTTGTCAAAAACAATGTTGGCACGCTCGTCGCCTCTGATCACTGTTTTCATATTTATAATATTTATCCACATGTTTCTAGTTTCTATATAGACACAACGTGTTTTAGTTACTTACAAGTGCTAATTAGATATGGACTAATAACTTAAATTCAGTAGTGATTTTATTTGAATATTTTTAATATTTATTTAATTTTTCAAATTAAAACTGAACGTAATTGACTGTGTTAACTATCCTTTTCCAGTCCTTTTATTATTTTATTGTAATTATTAATTATTTGCATGCAATTAAAAAATATTTTTAATGATGCTAAAGAAGTATAACTTCTCACGCGCGTACATAAGTTACACGCATCCATTTTTTTATTGACGCACTTAGACACACGCACACAGAGGCACATTCTTTGCATAGTGCTACAGTAGCGCGCCGCGCTCTACATTGCGTACTAGGACAAAAAAAAAGTATTTTTTTAACTTAAAAATACAAAATTTTCCAACGTATAATATTTTGTAATATGACTTGTTTGGGTGTACAGAATGCGTAATTTAAGTCTTTGTCATAGGCTTTTTTACACCCTGTATATAGTCTATTCAATTTCCTCTGAACCAAGTAAAAAAAATACAATAGGTCGAATTTTAAACGTATATAAAATCATAATTTTAAAAAAATCGCACTATATACTACTAAATTGAAGGGTAATGATAAAGTAAATAATTTACGTTGAAATGTGATTTTTTGTTATCTGTCTGGTTAAACCGGCCATCGTAACTCTCGATAAGAAAATTTACGCATCAAAAGGCTGATTATAACGATAATTATTTCTTTTGACGTGACAACGTCTTAAATTAGGTTGCGGCTGGGAGTCACTTATGAAAAAGTGTAACGCTCGGTAACGTTACGATGAGTCTCTCGTGTTAAGTTTAAGTTTACATGTACAATGTTTTAGTAAACAAAATATATTTCTATAGTTAAAATTTGTGCAATTCTTATTTTCATTCAATTCCTTGTTCCTATTGTGCAATTTAATTATATTCATATCAATAAATATTCTACCGAGAAAAAGACGTTGTCACGTAAAATCTTCGCCCGTAAAACCGACTTTACAGGCAACCATTTTTTTTTGTAGCATCTTCATAAGATCTTCGCAAAAAATCCCTACGGTTGGTAGATGATTAAGTCCGCCATTTGCACACTTCTGAAACTATGTTTAAATATATCAATCAGGGCTTGTTTACCGGTTAATTTTCAAAGCTAAATCAGTGTCAAGTACTTAAGGAGCGTTTTATTTAGTTTTGGCTCTACCTTAACCTTAAAAAGCCGGTTTTCCTAAAGAGCGAAATCAAATAGGTTTTTAATCAATTTAGCGGTTTTTAAAGGGTTTCATTTCGCTCTTTCTGACGGTATCGATAATAAATGAACAACTTGACTCACTAGATGCTAGCAATTGTGTCAACAAATGCATCAATCTCTGAGCATTAACAAGTTGTGACTTGATTAGTTCAAACAAAACAAACTTTAAGCGATGCCGACGCGTGCACGTGTCGCTCTGGATTAAACCGGTTTATTAAGGTTTTAGGTACCATTTCGGACGCGCTCCGAACGAAACCTTTACTAAAAACCGGTATTAACCTTTATTTACCGGTATTTTCGAAACCGGTTTCAAGCCCTGATATAAATAGTAGAGGAAAATCATCTCACCCATTCCTCGTCGTCGTCTCGTCTTGGCTCCGGTTCGAGTCCGTCGTCATCGTCCGTCGTCAGTTGGATTTTGGTCAGCAAATTGTTTGACAGGATCTAAACGGAAAAACACAGTTTATCAGATATGTGCAATAAGGTATTTGACAAGTGCTTGAAAACTAGTATACTTTAAAGATAGTATTTGGATTTATAGACAAAATGTGGGCATTTATTATTGTTTTACGAAATACGGTTTTAGGAACGGTGAAAAATGGAAAATGAAAATTAATATGAATGTTAATATGACAGCAAGATTGCAAATGTGTAATGACATTCCGGACTCAGCCAATTCTTGTCGCTTCCGAGCACTTGACAAAAACATTATAAAATCTTTCTCTCTTTTCGTCAATATTTAGACAAATTGACAATTATTTTTCTTATAGAATAATTAAATAATATTCATCTTAAATTAATAAAAGGTTATCTCTATTTCCCTCAATCGCAGCTAAATTTGAGAACAATTTTAACCTATTTCATCTATCTTATTATACAACTCCGTGGCCGAGTGGTTTGTACGCCGGGTTTCATGGTGTCGCCGACTCGAGACGTCCCGTGTTCGAATCCCGGTGGGGGTAGATGTTTGTGTGATGAATACCAGTATTTGTACTCCAGTCACGGATGTTTATTATATATTTCTATACAAATATAATTATATATGTACAGTACATGTATTCTATCCGTTACCCTAGCATCCCATAACACAAGCCTACAGTGCTTACTTTGGGGCTAGGCATATTAGCGTGGCTGTTCTTAAAAAATCTGAAAGAAATATCTCACCAGCGTCCTCAAAGCGTCCAGTCGGAGATGCCTCCTCGCCGGACAAGCGGCAGATAGTAGAAGACTGCGTGTGGACGTAGAAGCCCCGGATCGGGGCCGGGGACGGGCCACCCGCGCCCCTTGAGGGCAGTAGCAGGTCAGGGGATCGCCCTCCACAGAGCCGAATGTGTCAATCTATATAGAAACACAAGCTGACCCAGCGAACTTCGTACCGCCATAAAAAGATAGGGGTTGAAGGTAGAAAGTTGAAAATTTAGGGATTTGTATGTATTTTTGTATGTTGTATCATAAAAAAATAAAAAAAAATGTCTAAATTTGAAAAAACAAATTTAGGTGTGGATTGCCCTTAACATTTAGGGGGATGTAAAATAGATGTTGTCCGATTCTCAGACCTACCCAATATGCACACAGAATTTCATGAGAATCGGGAAAGCCGTTTCGAAGGAGTTTAACCACAAACACCGCGACACGACAATTTTATATATTAGATTTTATAGCTATTAACGGGATTGTTACCATGTACCTTGTTTTTTGATGCGCAACATCTTTCCTCTCATCATCAGCCTATTAATGTCTCCACTGCTGGGGCACAGGCCTTCCCTATGGATGGAATAGGGAGATTGGGCCATGACAAACCACGCGGGCCCAGTGCGGATTGGTATGTGCTAACGACTGCAGATGCAGCCCGGACCAACGGCTTAACGTGCCTTCCGAAGCACGGAGGAGCTCGAGATAGTAAATTTTGGTCACCCATCCAATGACCGACCACTGCGAAAGTTGCTTAACTTCAACGATCGCAGCCGAACGCGCTAACCACCTGCGCCATCGAGCTCCTCAACAAGCTTTCAACATCGAGCTTTCCTGCAATTTGTGGGAGTGATTACGTAAAGTGGGACGGAAGTGTGTAACAGGGAGTTTGGGAAGAGCGCGCTATTTGATTTCATATTAGAACATAATGTTCGAATGGCTTATTCTTTTGCAGTAGGCTTTACTTCTTTTTACTAATATAAGGTGAGGTTTCAAATGTTGCACATCATACGCGACTACTGTAAGGCTCGCTCGATTTTTTACGAGTCTCCGATATTTCGGCACTGTTGCAAGCGCCATGATCACGGAGTAACTGAAGTAATTGCGGGTAGATGTTATTGGCAGACATATCGGTCTACCCTCTGACGTCGTCTTTTACTGCGTTCGAAACGACTGGTCACATTCTCACTATTCACTCGCACCTGTTCCCGACACACAATACTCACAGTATCAGATGGCGGAACGACACCGTTTTGATTTTTGCGGTTTTTACACATACGAACCACTGGATTCGTATGCCGAAATATCGGAGACTCATAAAAAACAAGGTTCATGGTAACAATCCCGTTAATAGCTACAATGTTAGTGACCATGAAAGTTTTAAACAATATATAGATAGATTTTCTATTTATAATTTCATTTTTTAAGCATGTAACTGCTTGATGTTTAAATCTAAAGAAAATATAACTAGAAAAAAAGGACAATGTAGGTCACCTACAATGCGAAGAGATGGCGCTGCCTTGCAGGTTAAGAATGGCTAGAAGAATTTTCGACGCGGCCGTCAGGGCTGCGGTAGCATAATTGGTCAGTGCATTCGCCCGGATTGCGAAGGGTGCGGGTTCGAGTCCCGTCTGCTGCCTGGTCCGCGTGGATTTTTTTTCTAGTTATATTTTCTTTAGATTTTATATGTTTAAAAGGGCCTTATGGTAAGCAGCCACCATAGCCTAAAGACGCTTGGGATATTAAGGTATTTCAAATAAATATTTATGTAGTTCCGTTTATTGGTGTCTGTTGATGGTAAATCGGTTTTTGAAGTGAAACTTCTTTACGCACGCTTGACTTGGGGGGTAAGCTGGCGAATTCGTTACGCGTTACAATAATTGTGTTCGGGCGAAGCTTACTTTGGGGCTATTTATTTTATTTCTATGTCAATAATTTTTTAATTACAATTCTATATTAATTTTTACTTTTAATACATGCATATATATATATATATATTCCTATCATTATTTCCTCCTTATATTTAACTATTTTTTGTCTTCTTCTAATACAGGTTACTTAACTTAAAAGAAGAAGACCCACACCATGTAAACTTTGATGTAGAAGAATAATAAAGATTTTTGTATTTTGTATTTTTTTTTGTAACTATCTGATCCTAGTTTTCATCACACCTTTTTTAAAAGTCAGTTAAGATATTATAAGTAGTATTACCTGCGGAAGACTAGGCCAGCACGTGATCTCGTTGTGGCTGAGGTCCAGCTGACGTAATCCGGTCGGGTATGACGTCACGTATGACATCGACCTGCACAACACAAGAGGTTTTAATAGTTTACGAACACATACAACTTCATATAATTGATTTCACAAAGCAGTGACTAAGAAATAATATATAAAACTTATTGTAACTGTAGAAAGGCCAAAGGGGAAGATCTTCCTCCGAGCTGAGTGATGGTAGCTCGGTGGCCGCGGCCCGACTGATGTTAGTCGGGCGTTGTATATATGGAGTATTAGCCTCCGTATTTCTCTTGCGCGATGTAGACTTCCATATGTTGTGAACGCAGCGCCGGCAGCGCCATCTCCCGAGCAAGCGAGTGACTATTTCCTCCATGTTGATTATATGGGGGACATGTAGATGTCGCCGCCATAGGAACTATATATCTATATTCGAAATGATGTAATGGAAGGTGACTTCAGAAGTATCTCTGAAGTAATTGTTCAACTTGTCGACTCTGTATAGAATAATATAGGGAGAAAAAAACAGCCCTCGCTGAGTTTCTTGCCGGTTCTTCTCAGTACAAGGTCTCCCGCCGTAGTTTTGTGAACCGATTGCGTACCTTTTCGAACTTCACATGTGCAAGACCGAATAAATTATTTTTGAGTTTGAGTGATCTGGCGGCTCTGATGGCCGTGTCAAATTCCTTCTAGTATTTTCTGCTTCTAAGCTTCTAATGATTTTGTTGGGCGCCAGAATATATTTGATTCTAGTAGACAAATAGGTTTGGAAATTTTCGAGTGTAGGATAGTGTCGTGTTATGTAGTAAAGTGTAGTGTAGCGTAATGTATTGTGGTACAATGTGAAGTAGTAACGTGTAGTTTAGTATTGTGTATCTTTTTTCATTTGTTTTGGCAACAAATATTCATTTACGTAATATTCAGGTACATGCATATATGTATAATAAATAGACCAAAGAGTGCCCAAAGCTTATTACTGTTATAGTAGCAAAGAGAGTCTTAACATAGTCACATTTGCACGTGTATTCATCTAATGCTAAACAATTTATTGACATAAAATATTAAACAACTTATAACAAAAACAGAAATTTTCATAAACACCTTTTTTTTCATTCGATATAGCATTTAGTTTATTTTTAAACTATTAAAAGATAGATTACAAAGTTCCAAATCAGAGAACTCTTTGTTATAAACGTTGGTGGAACGACACATATAAGATTTACGTGTATAGTTTTTGCGTATTATAATTTAGTATCGTGTAGATTACTCGCCTTAACGAGTTGTATGCCAAATTCAGTCTTGTCAAAGCAGGCGCAAGTTAAGACGAACGGAACACAAGTCACCTGATTGTGAACCAGATTTAGTTCTCGTAACTGGAAGAGACTACCACCAGTCGACGACGGTAGGGGGTAGGAGAGGGGATATGTGTGGTGTAATTTACTCACCTAAGCGAATTATAGTCGAGGTTGAGCCAGTGTAGTATAGTTTGGTGTAGTGTAGTGTGATGAGGTGTGTTGTGTTACAGTGTAGTGTGGTGTAGTAAACTCACCTGAGCTAATTTTAAGTGAGGTTGAGCTAGTGTAGTATGGTTTGGTGTACTGTAGTGTGATGAGGTGTGTTGTGGTTCAGTGTAGTGTCGTGTAATAAACTCACCTGAGCTAATTTTAAGCGAGGTTGAGCCAGTGTAGTATGGTTTGGTTTACTGTAGTGTGATGAGGTGTGTTGTGGTTCAGTGTAGTATCGTGTAGTAAACTCACTTGAGCTAATTTTAAGCGAGGTTGAGTCAGTGAAGTGTGGTTTGGTGTAGGAAGTGTGATGCGGTGTGGTGAAGTATAGATTAGTACAGTGTAATATCGTGTAGTAAACTCACCTAAGCGAATTATAAGCGAGGTTGAGCCTCGTCAAAGCAGGCGCGAGGCAGGCTAAGGCGGGCGGAACACAAGTTAATTGATTGTGAGCCAGACTTAATGCTTGCAAGCAACTGCCACCAGTCGACGACGGTGGGGGGGAGGATATCTCCGGCTCCACCTCGCCGCGCCACGAGTGCGCGCATTTCACTGGTGTACACCTGTGTATCATACATGCATACTATAGTCGAAGCCCAACATATCATACAAATACTATATTATAACTAGCTGACCCAGCGAACTTCGTACCGCCATAAAAATAGGGGCAGGTGGTAGAAGAGAAAATTTGGGGCTGTATATATTTTTAATACCACATTATAAAAAAATAAATATTGTCCAAAAATTTTTTTTGGGGTTTGTAATGTTGTGTTCTTTCAATTTCCTGGGATAACATTCCTCCTAACCCATATGAGAACACTGCGTTACAATACCCAATAGTTTGAATTTTGGCGCGAAGGCGCATTGTAGGTTTCAGAACACTACGTTACAGGTGGACAACCATTATCACTTAAGGATATGAAAAATAGGTAGTAGCCGATTCTCAGACCCACGGAATATGCATATAAAATTTCATAAAAACACGAGAATTTTATATATAAGATAATAACGAGATATGATGACCTTTTGATGAGGAGCTTGATGGCGCAGGTGGTTAGCACGTTCGGCTGCGTTCGTTAAAGTTAAGCAACTTTCGCAGTGGTCGGTCATTGGATGGGTGACCAAAAATCTTCTATCTCGAGGTCCTCCATGCTTCAGAAGGCACGTTAAGCCGTTGATCCCGGCTGCATCTGCAGTCGTTAGCACCTACCAATCCGCACTGGGCCCGCGTGGTGGGTCATGGCCCAATCTCCCTATTCCATCCATAGGGAAGGCCTGTGCCCCAGCAGTGGGGACATTAATAGGCTGGTGATGATGATGATGTCTAGCGATTTTAGTAAATTTGTCATACATGGGAAGCCAGACCATAGAATATATATCGCATGTGACGCTCGTGACGCTGGTAGCGTTTCTGCCTTCGCCGAGTTTCCCTCCAAATTTCATGCTCGTCGGGAAGAGCTGCGCACGCATCCCACACACACACACACATATCGTGTGACGCTCGTGACGCATTTCCGTTTCATCTTTTTCATAGGACTTTTTCCATTTTTTGACGACCCCGTGCTCGAGTGGTTTGCACGACGGGTTTCATGGTGTTGCCGACTCGAGAGGTCCCGGTTTCGAATCCCGGTGGGGGCAGATGTTTGTTTGATAAATACGAGCATTTGTACTCCAGTCATGGATGTTTAATATGTATTTATATAAAAATCTCTTATCTAATAGACAAGTCCGTCCGTCCGTCCGTGGTGCTGTTTCAGCGGCCAAACTGTAAGAGATAGATATAGAGAATGTTCAAGTTATAAGTTAAGAATAGTCTGACAAGACTACAAACCGGATGTGAGTAACGTAGCACTTCCGGTTTCCGAGAAATCACATGATTTCTATTTCAAACGAAACCACACAAAATCTCCGAAGTTCTCAATTAATTAAATACATATATATATATATTTTTTTTTTGGTGAACATTTGGTTCACTGGTTTGCTAGTATACTTATATATGTACGGTAAGGGTGATTCTCAGTTAAGAGGTAATCAGTTGTATGGAAGCAGCGGCACAGCAAAAAGTGTCGATATTTATATAACTATATCACTACTTTTATCAGGACAGATGATTTTAATATGATTTTAAGATGATCAGTCATTTTTTTTAATTTATTCTCGTTTTACGAGACACCAGGGGAGATACTGAGTACAGGGTAGAGACAAGATGAACTTTATTGCAATGCGCTTAGAGCGCATATTAGGATGTAAAGTACTTATCCGTGCAATCAGATTTTAGTGGAATAACGATATAAAGCTAAACAGTTATCTAAAATTATATGCAATTGTACATTCTCTAATAACTTATCATTACTGTTATTGAGCTATTGCATCGTTTTTATAGTTTTGTTAGTAGCCTGGCACCATAACAGAAAGGGGAAATATGGCAGAGGAGAGACATTTTCGTTAAAAATCTAAAATTGCCGTAAAACTATTAATTTTACAAAGATTACAAATAAATAAAAGGTTACTATTTAAAATAAATTTATATAGATATTGTAGTATTTAAACACATAAACACGGCTGCACTCATCGAGCACCGTTGCGCAAATGGCCAAATATACATATACATATGTATTCTATCCGTTACCCTAGTATCCCATAACACAAGCCTTACAGTGCTTACTTTAGGGCTAGGCTTATTGGTGTGAGTGTTGGAAATATTTATTATTTATTTATTTATTTACAACCCATCCGAAAACAAGTTTCCCTTCGAAAATCTCTCTTCGTTTTACTCACACCGTGTTCTCTGCTCGATTGGCAATTGTAACTGGTGCGTCCTCATCCTCTAAAGTGTCGCCCTCTATAGAAGGACTGCGGGACGACGAATGCTGCGTACAAAAATATAACTGTCTTAGTATAATAAGCATTGTATTATTAATTTTGTAGAGTCTCCTGATTTCTTAATAGGGGTGATGACGGGGTACAGTAAACGAAATTCTATTAAGTCCGTCAGTTAGATGATCAAAAAATAATGGACACGTATTTTTTCTTTGGGCAATCAACCAAAAAATGACAAAGTTATAGCGCGTCAAAATTTGGGAGTATGGGCTCGTGACGTCACTTTTGAGTGAATTTTCGCTTATTAGTGTACTCAAACGTGACTTCATGCTAATTTTCAAATCAATATATCTCTGCAATGTTTATATTATGTGAAAAAAGAAAAAATACGTGTCCAATACTTTTTGATAATCTACCTGATAAACGAAGAAAAAAAAATTAGTCATCATCCCTATTGTTCTGTCGTATTGGATATGTTCAATGTAACAACAACATGTTTGTGAAGATTATGCATAATTATTTCTTTTTATAATTTTGTTAAGAATGCACACTCTGTCATTATCGTCACTAATGCATGCCGTGGCAGCCTATAATTAAGATACCACTTGAATTGTCACTTATACACTATTGGTTGTCCTTAAATAAATAAATAAACTGTCAATAAATACTCCAGTCTGATGGCTAACCAAAAAAGTGTGATACACCTGATTTTGAGCCTTAAAGCGACCATATTAAGGTTCAAAATAATCTGGCTCCGTTTCTTAGCAACAAATATTATGTAAAGAAAATATTACTAGTAAATACACCATACAAAGCACACAAGGAAATTTAAAACATTATAGACATAACGTACACAATATAAGCGGCCTTATTACTAGGCATCAATCACAGCGTGCGGTAAAATTACCATACAACAGAGCGTGCGGTAATTTTGAACAATGTATATAACCTTCTTAAAAGCATTCTTTTAGCAAAGGATAGTGGGAAATAAAAAATATAACAAAATGTATGAAGTCTGGGCCCACCCCTCAATAGTAATATGTGATATATCGTTGGATAGGGCTTTTTAAGCGAAACATTAGTTACTAACAAACCTATGGTCAAATGTTAGTACTTTCAGAGATACGATGCTCTAAAGTCGGCTCTGTCTAACATATTCTTAATGCATATTTATAAGGTAGAATAGTTATAGTACACGTGTTTCACTTTAAAACAAAAAAGATTTATTATTCGTCTTGGGAATCAATTACAATCATATCATTTAAAAATCAGCAGGTAGAGAGATATGCAATAATAAATACATGATACAGTTTGAGTCTGGGTAATGTCAACCTTTAATTGAAGTAAACTGCGATCATTAATTGCTTAGATTGGGATCACTTTTATGGCGGTTTAATAGGTACCTACTACCTAGCATAACTCCGAAAGTACTGACTTTTGATCTTTGCTATAATACTAAGTTTTATTCAGCATAAAAATACCTATTCATTCATACGTGTCTTAATTCTATTGAGCGGTGGGCCCAGCATTACCCATTGTCCTTTGTTGAAAAATAACCATGACTTACAGATACTGCAGCTTCTGTAGATTGTTCGCAGACCGAGCTGTTTGCAGACGACACATCACACGGAGATTGTGGTACGGGAGATGAGCATTCTGGTTCCTGGTATAGGAAATTAGCATGTTCAGGTAAAAAATAAATAATACTATATTTACGATGCACCCCTGCCTGCACGGTTTATCCAATTCAATTCAAAATATCTTAATTCAAATACGAATTATAATACAACTCTATTGATAATCCATATTTTTTCCCTACGACTCGTTAGGTCAATTTCTTTTACGCTGTGGAGAATAACGGGCGAAAAAAAACTTCACAGCGCCAAATGTTGTAACAAACAATTACAAAATTAGGTCATTTTTATCATAACAGGGTATTTGACAGTATTAAAAATAAAGTGCCATATGTTAGCATCTGTGTTTAGAAAGAATATTGGCAGGGGTTTTTACTATTTTTACAAAACAAAAATATTCATAATTTTACTAAAAACCCACGAATAGGATAATAGTTTTCTTATCTATTGTCACGTGACCCAAAACGCTTGGGATTGGCGGATCCTAAAATGACGTCACACGCAAGTAAACTTCCGGTTAAAGTGACATTACATTGTATCGTTTGACGTTTCAATAAGTCGTGTAAAGTCACACACTAGTAAGACGCCATATTGTCCATAGAAACGTTTTGCGCGGCAACTTGAAAATGGAGTTTTTGATTTGGTTATTTCTACTGAAATACACAACAGAATGATGAATAAGCACTTTTTACGGACTCCATAAACATTATTCAATCACGTCAGATCGTTTTCTAAAACTTGTCAAATACCCTATTATAGAAATAGCCCATTGAAACATTTAAAACAGTTTATAACCAAGCACTTTTGTCTGTTACACCTTATAAGACGCTTTATTCATAATAACTCGAAATGTATTTGAAAGCGATGAAACATAATCGAAATCACTGAGGAATATTGTAGATTTAGAAGAATTTTTGTAAATCATTGCAATATTTTTGAGTTTATTTTGGGTTATAAATAAACAAAATTATTAATATCAATCTCGTAAATAACTACTCTGATAAAAATTTACTTGCAATTTACAGGCTCGAGAATGGTCCTTCGAGCTGGAACCTTTTTAAGACGTTAATGATATGTTGTCTTCATCATCGTCATCATCATCTGCCTATTAATGTCCCGTCTGCTGGGGCACAGGCCTTCCCTATGGATGGAATAGGGCGATCGGGCCATGACCCACCACGCGGGCCCAGTGCGGATTGGTGGGTGCTAACGACTGCAGATGCAGCCGGGACCAACGGCTTTACGTGCCTTCCGAAGCACGGAGGAGGTCGAGATGGTAAATTTTTGGTCACCCATCCAATGACCGACCACTGCGAAAGTTGCTTAACTTCAACGACAGCAGCCGAACGCGCTAACCACCCGCGCCATCGTGCTCCTCTACGACAGCCTATTCTTATTGAATAATAAATGAATGGCGCCTATTCCATCTACAGAGAAGGCGCGTGCCCCAGTAGGGACATTAAGTCTGATGATGATGTATTTACCTGATATAAAGGCAAGTCTCTCAGATGATTAAGGGCGGCGCACAAATCCTTTAAGGAAGGCGATCGCCACATACTCGAAGGAAGAGACCGAAGCTTATTGTTGGACACGTCCAACGTTTGGAGTGATGGAAGAAGGAATAACGAAGGGGGCAACTCTTCTAGCCGATTGTCCTGGGGAACAGAACAATTTGCTGTTCAATTTCAAAACTTGTATATTTAGTGGTCGGTGTAATTGGCAGATTTCTGCCACGCATACATTGAACAATATTTAGATAAACTAAAAAATAAATAAAAAAATATTTCTTACACTCACAACAATTAGCCTAGCCCCAAAGTAAGCACTGTAAGGCTTGTGTTATGGGATACTAGGGTAACGGAAAGAATTCATATATTGTACATAAGTATATTTATTTAGAAATACATATTAAACATCCATGACTGGAGAACAAATGCTCGTATTCATCACATAAACATATGTTCCCGACGGGATTCGAACCCGGGACCTCTCGAGTCGGCGACACCACTCGGCCACGGGAGTCGTCATTTAGTGAAAACAAAACATTCTCATCTAGTGACCTGAAACAATATCTACTTACCTGTAAGTAAATCTCTTGTAATGAAGGCGCGCTGTACACTTTCGGCCGCGCCCGTTTGCCACGACCCTTAGGCGGTTCCTCCTCGAACGGGTCCCCCTCCTGGGGGAGTCTCTCTAGCTTGTTTTGTGCCGCATTTAGATATCTACATGTCGAATGCGGGGAAAAATTAAAAATATTATTTCCTACGAATGAAAATTATATAACTTCAATAAAGTATTTGTTTCGTTACAAAACAAAAAATATTATGATTCAATCAGTCATATAGTTAAGTGACAAATACTTATATCTATTCAAAAGTATACATAAAGAAGAGGGGTCCTAGTGTACAACCTTGGGGAATCCTAAGAGTAAAATTTTAATTGATTATTAAAAAAAACTAAAATATAACTAAATAAAAAATGTGACAACAATATAAGTTTTATATTCCATTCCATTTAAAAAAAAAACTTACATTTTACCGTGTCAAAAGTCCTTTTAAAAGCCATTGTTAAATTTTGATATTTAAAAAAAACTCATTTGTCATTTGAGGTATCTCTTTTATCACAAAGTAGCTGAAAATGAAAATGAATCAGTTGTACTTGGCTGAAGTATTTTTTTTTTTCTAGTGAAGGAAGTCACTAGAAAAAAAAATTACTTACAATAAGAGAGAGAGAGAGAGAGAGAGCGAGATAACAACATATTGTCATAAACGCTCTCGAATCGGAACCGCGAAAGTGCTAAAGATCGAATGTGCTAGATCACCGCGGGTCGCGATAGAGGTCGAGTAATGCGGCTCATTCCAAAATAAGCCTTATGCAGTGCGGTGTAAGGGAGAAAGTGCAACGACATCTGCACTTGTTTACAAGTTATGCGCGTTACCTGCGTAGGTATAAGTAGATACTTTGTACTCGCGGGTGCTACATAATTCTGAATTTAACAGGTACTTTCTAGAATTAGTCGATCGGCGTATATAAGCGCGATTGGCGCCGCGTAGAGACAGTTGAGTTTCAACAGCGATTTCGGAGCGAATCCAAAGGCGATCAAAGTGCAAGAAAAGTGTTCAAGTGAGAATGTTTAGAGACTTGTATAGTAAATAAAATACAGTGCTTAGTGAGTGTTTTGTAATGAACATTGTTTGTTAATTGTGTGAACTGTGTGGTGAATAAAAAACTGTCAAGCGTGAACTAGCATATAATTTCGAACCCCATCCCGACACGTACTATATATATCTATATATATAAAACTCAAAGGCGACTGACTGACATAGTGATCTATCAACGCACAGCCCAAACCACTGAGAAAGTATTTTGATCAATTCTACCCCCAAGGGGATAAAATAGGGAATGAAAGTTTCTATGAAACTTTGTCAATTTTAAACCGATCGGGCTGAGACTTTGCATGCAGGTATAAGAAGAATCATAGATGAATGTCATTGTGTATAATACAAGGCTGAGAACAAAAACTGTAGTCTACACTTCAGCTCTACACCGAAGCGAAGTGAGGGCGGGCCGCTAGTTATATATATAGTACGTGTCGTATATTCTTACTTGAGCGAGAGCAGCGTGAAAAGATCCGGAGGCAACTGCCTCAGCTCGTTGTTGGCGACATCCACGCGGGTGACGGCCAGCAGAGCCCCCGCTGGAGAAACTAGACGAGGGTTCACGTGCATAGCAGCGCCTCGCAACCATGACATCCTTAAAGAGATTATTGTTTTTTAAGGAACTGACCAAATTGTGCATACCAAACCCCATCGTAACCTGACCATATCATTTTCTTCATCATCATCATCATCAGCCTATTAATGTCCCCACTGCTGGGGCACAGGTCTTCCCTATGGATGGAATAGGGAGATTGGGCCAGGACCCACCACGCGGGCCCAATGCGGATTGGTGGGTGTTAACAGCTGCATATGCAGCCGGGACCAACGGCATAACGTGCCTTCCGAAGCACGGAGGAGTTTGTGATAGCAAATTTTTGGTCACCCATCCAATGACCGACCACTGCGAAAGTTGCTTAACTTCAACGACCGCAGCCGAACGCGCTTACCACTTGCGCCATCGAGCTACTCGATAATTTTCTTAAAATCACTTAATTATTACATACAATTTTTGCCACCATATTGCAAAGCACACCGGCCTCCTCCGATAGGGTGTTGGCTAGGATGCTTTGCAATATGCCAGTCTCAAACCTATTCATTTTAAAGATATAAAATAATAATAAATAAATATTTCCGACACTCACACCAATTAGCCTAGCCCCAAAGTAAGCACTATAAGGCTTGTGTTATGGGATGCTAGGGTAACGGATAGAATACATATACTGTACATATATAAGTATATTTATATAAATACATATTAAACATCCATGACTGGAGTACAAATGCTCGTATTCATCACACAAACATCTGCCCCCCACCGGGATTCGAACCCGGGACCTCTCGAGTCGGCGACAGCCATGAAACCCGGCGTACAAACCACTCGGCCACGGAGGTCGTCAAAGATGTTGAATACATGTCGCCTTTTCGCTTAATTTTTGACAGATTCCATTAATAAGTGTTGGACATCCTATACTTTTTCACATGTTTTATTGATGTCATATTATGGTACTCGCGAATATAAAAAACGAATCTCTTAAAGTGGAGGAATTATTGAAGTGGAACTTCTTAACGGACGGGATTTAAATGGAAAAGATGGAAGAGATATAATAGAAATGCTACACGAGCGTCACACGACTTATATATGAGGGGTATTCAATCAAAGTTGGTAAAGTCCACATTGCCAAAATGTTCAGTAAACGATAAAAACGATTATTTTAATAATAACAGGCAACTATTCTAATGTTAAACATTATTAAGAGCCCTTCCACATTTTTTGCAAAAAATCTTAATTTTTGAGCTCCTCGTTTACCCCCATAGAAACATTTTGACTATTTCCTATAGAAGTAAACAGAAGATTAATTCTTCCTATTGTAAGTAAATTTAGAATATTAGCAAATACTATTTTCCATTTTTTGGACTGATCGTTCTACCGCAGCTAGTTTACGGAAAAAACGATAATATGCACAACTTTAAACGGCTCAATTTCTCAATAATGTTCAATAAATAGAATTACTATCAAAATCTTCCATAAAACTAATCTACCAACATTGAAATACTGAAATATGTATACATTTTTATAATTAGTTCATTAATAATTATTTTATGAGACTCGAAACATCACCCGTAAAATGCAATATATACTAGTGCAAATCTACCTACGCGCCGATCAGTACGGCAGCGGCGCAATTTTGTAAAAGGGCTCTTAATATGCAGAATGTAATAGATTATGGAAATACAAATGTTCATTACGTTCAGTTCAATACTTATGAGTTAAACCTTAAGTATAAGATGGACTTTCCCAGTTTTGTTACCAAGTTGTAGACTTTATTAAGTTTGTAACTGTAACACAACAAAAGAGCATTACAACATCAAAGGCGGCCATGACGGCTATCAGTGAAATAGAGGCAATGAAGCCTTCCTATTGGTCGAAAAGGACTTTGCGCAAATTGAAACTCAACTCACTTGGAATTGGTACGTTTGTTTGTAAAGTCAATTTTCAATTTGAAATTACAGTTGAGATTTCTAGAATTTGTATAAAATTATTCTACGGGATAAATATAGATACGGAAATGAATGTGTTGTTATTTATATCACACTTTTAATATTTTGTGAACTCTACCAAATTTATTTATTTGATTAGGAACACATACAGAAATACATATCATACATTACAAAGTGATTAATAATATGAACACAATTATTATGTTTGCCACTTACAAGTGTACACAGCATTCAATATAAAAATGACAGTATTTTTACATTAAAAAAACAAAACAATTAAATTATTAAATAAGAGTAAGATTAAAATTTGATAAAAAAAATGAATTAATAATTTACTAATCTAATTAGATTAGAGGCTGAGATGGAATTCAGCAGCTTATGTCGGAAGTGGTTTTGACTATAGTTAAATATGTCAATGTCTCCAAATTTGCCATTCGTGTCATTATAAGTGGAACAAATTCTAGAGGGAGGATGATGCAAGCCCAGATTGGTTCTATATCGAGGCAGACTGAAAGTTTTGGTCATTGGTCGCCGGGGATAATTATAGGGAACCGATAATTGAACCATCTCAAGTACTTTGATTGTATACCCCTGATATATATATATATATGTGTGTATGTGGCATGCGTGCGCAGCTCTTCCCGACGGGCATAAAAGTTGGAGGGAAACTCAAACGCGACAATAACTCAACATATATATGAGTGATCCGTGATCTGCTCCATTCCCCTATGCCTTGTGCACCGCCTAATGTTAGATTATTTAAGAAAAGAAGTTTCACTTGAGATAAGTAGTCCATGCATACATTTTTTTTTTGTTAATGTCGAGATTCGAGAAACATATTCATATATTATCATGGGCATATTCGGCTTAATTTATTTATTGACTAACAAATTACGGAAGCGACTTCATGGGATATTTTTATTTCAAAAAGTCCCGAGATTCCCGGTTTACATAACTAATAGGTTGTATAATTTACTTAAAGTTGAATTTTAATTTCCCATTCGTGTATGTGCTTAAGTAAGGTGTAAGAGCTTAGGTTAAGAAGACAACATATGAATATAAACTCACACAGTATTTTCATGATATACACACAAGGTATATTCCGTAATATATACCAGTATACTGGCCAGTGCTAATGACGTCATGAATCGACGAAATATTAAAAATAGTGCGAATAAAGAATATTTGTATATTCACCTCATCAATTAATAGGAATTCTTTTTGTTCGGATGCCATTATTGTTCTTTAAATAAAAAAGAAATAAAATTCGAATGCATCTCACGCACGCTCGGTCATATATCATATTCGTTTCCCGGTAAAAATATGGTAGCATACCAGTACAATATGGCGTCGGATTCGTGACGTCATTACTACTGGCCAGTATACTGATGTTTATTTCGAAATATACCCAGTCATTTGTGTCGATATTGGTTTGTGCTAAGGGTATTGTATAAGCATATACATGTACCTGATGGCAGGCAGTTTACATCGCAGCTCTCTCCAGGTGATCAAGACAGCCGTGGAGGGGTATCTAGCGTTATATGACATACATATAAACATATATATGTACCTGATGGCGGGCAGTTTACATCGCAGCTCTCTCCAGGTGATCAAGACAGCCGTGCAGGGGTATCTGGCGTTATATGACATACATATACACATATATAAGTATATATGTACCTGATGGCGAGCAATTTACATCGCAGCTCTCTCCAGGTGATCATCACAGGCGTGGAGTGGTATCTGAAGTTATATGACATACATATAAACATATATAAGTATATATGTACCTGATGGCGGGCAGTTTACATCGCAGCTCTCTCCAGGTGATCAAGACAGCCGTGGAGGGGTATCTGACGTTATATGACATACATATAAACATATATAAGTATATATGTACCTGATGGCGGACAGTTTACATTGCAGGTCTCTTCAGGTGATCAGGACAGCCGTGGAGGGGTATCTGGCGTTATATGACATACATATAAACGTATATAAGTATATATGTACCTGATGGCGAGCAATTTACATTGCAGCTCTCTCCAGGTGATCATCACAGGCATGGAGTGGTATCTGACGTTATATGACATACATATAAACATATATAAGTATATATGTACCTGATGGCGGGCAGTTTACATTGCAGCTCTCTCCAGGTGATCATGACAGCCGTTCAGGGGTATCTGGCGTTATATGACATACATATAAACATATATAAGTATATATGTACCTGATGGCGGACAGTTTACATTGCAGGTCTCTTCAGGTGATCAGGACAGCCGTGGAGGGGTATCTGGCGTTATATGACATACATATATAAGTATATATGTACCTGATGGCGGGCAGTTTACATCGCAGCTCTCCCCAGGTGATCATCACAGGCGTGGAGTGGTATCTGACGTTATATGACATACATATAAACATATATAAGTATATATGTACCTGATGGCGAGCAATTTACATCGCAGCTCTCTCCAGGTGATCATCACAGGCGTGGAGTGGTATCTGACGTTATATGACATACGTATAAACATATATAAGTATATATGTACCTGATGGCGGGCAGTTTACATTGCAGCTCTCTCCAGGTGATCATGACAGCCGTTCAGGGGTATCTGGCGTTATATGACATACATATAAACATATATAAGTATATATGTACCTGATGGCGGACAGTTTACATTGCAGGTCTCTTCAGGTGATCAGGACAGCCGTGGAGGGGTATCTGGCGTTATATGACATACATATATAAGTATATATGTACCTGATGGCGGGCAGTTTACATCGCAGCTCTCCCCAGGTGATCATCACAGGCGTGGAGTGGTATCTGTCGTTATATGACATACATATAAACATATATAAGTATATATGTACCTGATGGCGAGCAATTTACATCGCAGCTCTCTCCAGGTGATCATCACAGGCGTGGAGTGGTATCTGACGTTATATGACATACGTATAAACATATATAAGTATATATGTACCTGATGGCGGGCAGTTTACATTGCAGCTCTCTCCAGGTGATCAAGACAGCCGTTGAGGGGTATCTGGCGTTATATGACATACATATAAACGTATATAAGTATATATGTACCTGATGGCGAGCAATTTACATTGCAGCTCTCTCCAGGTGATCATCACAGGCATGGAGTGGTATCTGACGTTATATGACATACATATAAACATATATAAGTATATATGTACCTGATGGCGGGCAGTTTACATTGCAGCTCTCTCCAGGTGATCATGACAGCCGTTCAGGGGTATCTGGCGTTATATGACATACATATAAACATATATAAGTATATATGTACCTGATGGCGGACAGTTTACATTGCAGGTCTCTTCAGGTGATCAGGTCAGCCGTGGAGGGGTATCTGGCGTTATATGACATACATATATAAGTATATATGTACCTGATGGCGGGCAGTTTACATCGCAGCTCTCCCCAGGTGATCATCACAGGCGTGGAGTGGTATCTGACGTTATATGACATACATATAAACATATATAAGTATATATGTACCTGATGGCGAGCAATTTACATCGCAGCTCTCTCCAGGTGATCATCACAGGCGTGGAGTGGTATCTGACGTTATATGACATACGTATAAACATATATAAGTATATATGTACCTGATGGCGGGCAGTTTACATTGCAGCTCTCTCCAGGTGATCAAGACAGCCGTTGAGGGGTATCTGGCGTTATATGACATACATATAAACATATATAAGTATATATGTACCTGATGGCGGGCAGTTTACATCGCAGCTCTCTCCATGTGATCATGACAGCCATAGAGAGGTATCTGGCGTTATATGACATACATATTTTAAACATATATAAGTATATATGTTTAAAACTTAATGAGGAGCTCGATGGCGCAGGTGGTTAACGCGTTCGGCTGCGACCGTTGTAGTTAAGCCAAAAAAAATCTAACTCGAGTTCCTCCGTGCTTCGGAAGGCACATTAAGCCGTTGGTCCCGGCTGCATCTGCAGTCGTTAGCACCCGCCAATCCGCACTGGGCCCGCTTGGTGGGTCATGGCCCAATCTCCCTATTCCATCCATAGGGAAGGCCTGTGCCCCAGCAGTGGGGACATTAAGAGGCTGATGATGATGATGAAGATATGTACCTGATGGCGGGCAGTTTACATCGCAGCTCTCTCCATGTGATCATGACGGGCGTGGAGGGACATCTAGCGTTATAAGTTAAGGCGTTGTCTTGTGCCCGTGAATTCAGAACCGCGGCCGATATCGCTGACTTGTCCAACTTGTACTCGGGGTCCGGGTACGCCTATAAAGTTAATAGCAGATTAGACAACAAACGAAAAAAGCGAATTTAATTCGACAGAAACAAAGACCGATATGATTTATGTTAACTGTTTAACGATATTAAATACCCTAGATACAACAACACGAACAATATCGTGGCCGAAACCTGTCCAAATGGTACATTGGACGATCCACGGAGCTCCGTAAGATGATCGCGTAGTCAAAAACCATATAAGGCATTATTTAAATATTGAAAGTCACCTTTGATACATACTGCATAATGGTTTAAACAAACGCATATGTCGAAGAGTTATGCCAGTCTGAAATGCAAGTTTGTAAAATTTTACGACTTATTGCTATAGGCGGAAGATTATAGACTTTATTTCTTTGACTCACTTGCAGTCTAAATAACAAAAGGCATTATTTAAACATTGAAAATCACCTTTAAAGCACACTACATAAGGTCTTAATTTAAACGCATTCGTCAAAGTGTAATGACAGTCCGATATGTAAGCTCGTAAAATTTTACGACTTATAGCTATATGCGGAAGAATAGACCTTATTTCTTTGACTCTACGCGCAATTCTGAATGCGCTGTTAGCAATATAGCAGGTACGGACCGCGAGGAAAAGAGACGGCTATATTCCCGAACATGCATTTGAATATCACAAATATTTTGTATTAAATCAGTTTATAGTAAGTATTAGAACAAACTTTTCTTCAAATGCGTTAAATTAACAAACATTGATTAGATACATGTCGAAAAAACTACACGTTACGTTCTGAAGTATTTATTTCGCATTTTTCACGGATCTCTGTAGCATGTTGACTTTTCAATGGTCCGCGCGTGACTGTGAACCAAGAAGTGCTTGAGTCGTGTTCCAGCACTTCTTGGTTCACAGTCACGCCACTAGGGGCGGGGGGAGTAGGGCGCCACTGTCTACCGAAATGACTACAAATGACAAAAAATATGCCGTTAACAAACACGGCAGCGTTTAGTTCCAATTTTCGCCACATTCATAAACATCCTTGTCGCACATATACTAATGTCCCCCCCACGACAACGGCTAACTAGAGCCGAGGTCCGAGTCTCAGAGAAGCCCTCTAGTTGAGCCGACCCCCTCAGGTTCGAGTGGTCTGGAGGCTCCAGACGGAGAGGAGACTCCCCCCTTGGGGAGACGCCATCCGCCTGGAATACCTCTAGAGGCACTCGCCAATTCTCGGCTTGAGGTCCCTTAGGATCTCGACCATCTGCGACCAACAGCATACACACTCAAAAAAAATATACTAATGTTTGCGTTCAATTAATCTATGTTTTTCTAGCAATGAAATAAAAGCTTGTTTTTTTTCATTATTCTAAGTGTCTTCAAACCTCTGTGAGTATTCTTATTATCTACAATGCCTCACCTTAGTAGCCAATATCCTGGCGAGCAAGGAATTCAGGTTATTGTTTGCCGCCTCGCTAGCGGCCCGACCGCTAGGATCCGTGGCCCCAGCGTCTAGCAGCATCTCTGCTAGAGGCACGAAGGAAAGGCGGGCTGCTAGACGCAACGCCGACCACCCATCCCGGTCGTCGCCGTCACGGCACGACCCTACACATTGTTATATCATTATTACATTATTAGCCTCGCTTGTGGCCCTGGTGCTATGTCTCTGCTAGATTTTTGATAGATCTCTGCTAGAAGCACTAGGGACAGTCCGACCACCCATCCCAGGCGTCGCCATCGCGGCACGAGCCTGCACATTGTTATATTATTGGCCTGGCTGGTGACCCTGGTGCTACGTCATTGCTAGATATTTGCTCGATTTTTGTTAGATCTTTTGTATATATTTGCTAGACCTCTGCTAGATATTTGCTAGATCACTGCCAGAGGCACGAGGGATAAGCGGGCTGCTAGACTCAACGCCGACCACCCATAGCACTATTTGTACAAGTTGTGGAATGATTGAATAAAACGAATTTTCACGAAAAACATAGGAATTTTGCGAAAACGTGGATAATTAGACAATGGCGATGACGTTGCTCTAACACAACCTTTCCCAAAGTGGGCGATAACGCCCCCTTGTGGGCGCTGCAGGTCTAAAAGGGAAGGCGGTAAGAGACCTAGAAAAAACTTTGTGTAGAGGCTTGGGGGTCGATTTACAGTTTCATCTAGGAAGAATTAATTGAATTTGAAGTTATTAGTTGTTTATAAATAGGAGAAAAAAAATATTCTCAGAGTGGCCGGTAGACAAAATAAGTTTGGGAACCCCTGCTCTAACCTAACCCAGTGTGAACCCAAGAAAATTATAATAAGCCGACGATTGTTTTCGCAATCTTACTGAAACGACTTGCGTTTTCGTTAAAAATCCTAACTTTTTCAGCAAGATAAGGATATCATTGAAATTGTCTAATTATCCGCGTTTCCACGAAAGAAGAATTCGTAATATAATAGGGTGTTTCACTACATTTTAGAAAAAATCTATAAATGTATTAATGCGATAGTTAAGACAATAAGGAGTCGGAAAATGTTAGTTTCACTTCATATAATAACAAAATACATTTTAAAAATAAATTCAAAGTTTTCAGTTTTTCTAATCTGTTTTAAAAACACGATGCAATAGTAGACGTAGTTGCCGCCACATATGACGTCACATCGCTAGTATAAGCCAAAGTATCAGCTGTCAACACAGTATATTATTTTTACAAGCTTTTATTTAACTTGCTATGTATGTTTGTTACGGTCAAATCTTACAACTCAATTTTAAAGCACTTGCCCTCAACCGGTTAAGCTGAAATTTGGTATGCTCGTTCAGTTCGGATGACAATGCATGATTAACAGTGTGACGTCATTCTAAATCCAATATGGCGGCATACCCAAAATGGCGGACCAATCATTTTTAATGCATTCCTACAATATGGGTATCAAATTAAAGGGCTTGCTGAGAGTAACTCGAAAAAATGTAACGTCACTCTCAATCCAATATGGCGGACTTTTAAACGCGTTCAGTTTGTTTGACAATGCATAGTTAATTGTGTGACGTCATTCTAAATCCAAGATGGCGGAACACCCAAAATGGCGGATAAATTTTTTTCTTTTTAGCGCATTTGAATAAAAGCTTGTTTTTAAAAAGGTTCTTTTAACCTTAATTTTATTATTTATTTAATTAATTGCACATATACAGTAAAGGATCTTAAACAATTATTTTAGCATGGTACATGACCCTGTTAGGGTATTGCTTTAATGTTTTCGTAACCAAGGTAACGCATTTTTTAACAGTAATAATGAAGTCAAGACCTCAGAGCAATATGGTGCCCACTGCGTCCAGCATTTTCGTTTAACTATTAAAAATTTAAAAACATTTTTAAGGCACTTAAACGTTAAAAAAAATTATGTATTTTTAGTAGCTTATTAGCACTTTAAAATGGTTGTTTTACTCTATTATGTATGTATTAAGAGTCATTAATACTCACTGTCTACGCTGGTGTTGCGCTGCACTGCCGCAGAAGCGCTGCGCGAGCGACGACGCAGTTCACGACCATCGCCGACGCCGCGCTGATAAAAATTAAAATACCATAATGAAAATTCTTAAAAACTATCTAATTAAAAATAGCCACTATCCTATAAAATGCGTCCAAGGGGTCTAAAATTAAGTTTTAGATCCAGATTTCAACAATCGCCGCAGTAATAATATTCTTATGGACAATAGTGTATTTCACAAGTTTTAGAAAACGATCTCACGTTATTTACTCATGTTTATGGAGTCCGTAAAAAGTGGATATTCATCATTCTGTTGTGTATTTCAGTAAAAAAAACCATGTCAAAAACTCCATTCTCAAGTTGCCGCGAAAAAGTTTCTCTGGACAATATGGCGTCTTATTAGTGTGTGACGTCACACGACTGTTATTAAAACGTCAAACGATACAATGTAATGTCACTATAACCGGAAGTTTACTTGTGTGTGACGTCATTTTAGGCTCCGCCAATCCCAAGCGTTTTGGGTCACGTGACAATGGATAAGAAAACTATTATCTTTTTCGTGGGTTTTTAGTAAAATTATGAATGTTTTTTTTTGTAAAAATAGTAAAAACCCCTGCCAATATTAATTCTAAACACAGATGCTAACAATTGGCACTTTATTTTTAATACTGTCAAATACCCTATTCTGATTTTGCCATAATGTGAAGTGAAGTGAAAGAAAGTGTACTGGAATATAATGTTGTAGTATGGTGTAGTGTGGTATAGTATTTTACAGGCCTAATACGTTATAATATAACTATGTTACCCTATTTAAAGCAAATAAGTTATTTCACTTCATCACAAGATTTACCTGTAAGTGTTTGAATAGAAGTAATGCAAGATACATTTTTTAAGCATTTAACTGCTGGGTGTTTGAATCTGAAGAAAAGTTTACTAGAAAAAAAAACACGCGGACCAGGCAGCAGACGGGAAACGAACCCGCACCATTCGCTACCCGGGCGGAAGCTCTGACCATTATGCTACAATTACCACTATGATATTTGACCATTGACAGACTATGTCCATTATGATAGCAATGTCGAATTTTCTCTAGCCTTAGGCTGCAAGGCAGCGCCATCTCTTCGCATTGTAGGTAACCCACAATGTCAAATGAATACCTTTACAAGTATTAAACATTTGAAAGAAGAAACAGCAATAGGGTGTTTGACTAGTTTTAGAAAACGATCTCACGTTATTAACTAATGTTTATGGAGTCCGTAAAAAGTGGATATTCATCATTCTGTTGCCTATTTCAGTAAAAATAACCAAATCAAAAACTCCATTTTCAAGTTGCCGCGAAAACGTTTCTCTAGAGAATATGGCATCTCACTAGTGTGTGACGTCACACGACTATTATTAAAATATCAAACGATACAATGTAATGTCACTTTAACCGGAAGTTTACTTGAATGTGACGTCATTTTAGGCTCCGCCAATCCCAAGCGTTTTGGGTCACGTGACAATAGATACGAAAACTATCATCTTTTTCGTGGGTTTTTAATAAAATTATGAATATTTCTGTTAAAAAAGTAAAAAACTCTGCCAATGTTCATTCTAAACACAGATGCTAACAATTGGCACTTTATTTTTAATACTGTCAAATACCCTATTATAGTTACATTTTTATGTAACTACTAGCTGACCCAGCGAACTTCGTACCGCCCTAAAAAATAGGGGTTGTCCAGCGGACAAAATTGTGAATCTAAACCATTCTCAGATCCCCTTGAACACACACAAAAAATTTCATCAAAATCGGTCCAGTCGTTTAAGAGAAGTTCAGTGACATACACACTCACAGAAGAATTATATATATAAAGATAATTGCTATAGTTTAATTCCATTCAAAGGAAACGGGTAGCTTCTTTTACGTCTCGAGTTTGCAAGTATGATAACTAAATTATCACTAGTCTGGCGGAAAGATTGATGGCCACCAATATGTATAAACGCTGGGTACAAAATTACAATTTCAGATAAATTGAGAATTTAAATTCATTAATCAACACAATTTGACTGAATGTTTTAAATAATTTTTATCTGGTTATAATTTTTAATTGTGGGTTACCTATAATGCGAAGAGATGGCGCTGCCTTGCAGCTTAAGAATGGCTAGAGGAATTTCGACGCGGTCCGTCAGGGCCGCGGTAGCATAAATGGTCAGTGCATTCGCCCGGATTGCGAAGGGTGCGTCCCGTCTGCTGCCTGGTCCGCGTGGAATTTTTTCTAGTTATATTTTCTTTATTTTATTCTGTTTTAATTTAAATATTTTTAATTCATTGTTCAATTTCAATGTAATTTGCCATTATGTGTTTTTAAATGTATATTGTTTTATTGCTATTATTAATTCTTTTAATGTAATTGTGGTAGTTTTTTTTTATTTGATATGGATCTCGTGTCTGAAATAAATGCTTTTATTATTATTTATTTTTAAAATAATGTAATATGTCTGAATTACCTGTAAGGGTGGAGCAGCTGGGGCATCAGCCTTAGCCCCGGCCTTCAACAATCGCTTCAATAGTCTCGCGTTATTCGCTCGCACAGCTAAAGATACGCAGCTCTCTCCGTTAACGACTGCGTCCACGCACACGGGAGATAGGCGGGACGAGTCGTCAGCGTCCTAGGGATTTAAATAAATAATGATTTAGCCATTGTCAGGGACGATGACTATTTTTTTTTCTTCGTTTATCTGGTAGATTATCAAAAATTATTGGACACGTATTTTTTCTTTTTTCACATAATATAAACATTGCAGAGATATATTGATTTGAAAAGTCGCATGACGTCACGTTTGAGTACACTTATAAGTGAAAATTCACTCAAAAGTGACGTCACGAGCCCCTACTCCCAAACTTTGACGCGCTATAACTTTGTCATTTTTTGGTTGATTGCCCAAAGAAAAAACACGTGTCCATTATTTTTTGATCATCTAACTGACGGACTAAATAGAATTTCGTTTACTGTACCCCATCATCACCCCTATTACATTTGGTCATTAGCCCGGATTCGGGAACCCGAAGCAATATTTACATTGGAATACAGTTTAGACTAAAGTAGAACTTTTTATTAGCTGTAGTAAAATGACGTTTTGTGGGTTACCGCTTTTTGAAGAAAAATAAATAGGGATGTAGCTAAGTGAGTAAGTGAATCATTCAATAAATGAATGATCAGTTTGGTTTCGTTTAAGAGATTTAATATTAAGTTGTAATGATTTTTTATTCTATTATTATTACTATAGTAAAGGATTGATCTTTTTCATTGGAAGTATCGGGACGTACATCCAAAATTAAACAAAAAGTCTTAACAATGTTATTTATTAATCAAATATTTTCGGAATCACTATCGCTGTCGCTATCGGTCACACTAATGACAAATCTGTCTGTCATTTCATCAATAATATGATCAAGGTGGCACATTTTGTCTTCCTCTTTTATAGTGTTAGACACACAGTCACTCCACTTAACCGGTGTCACTTTGTTGATTCCTTCTTGGAATAAAGTTTTCACTTCTTGCATTTTATATGTTTTATTAATGTTTGCGACGTGCCCCTTTACGTGAGCCCAAACCAACTCGATGGGGTTCAATTCACAGTGATAAGGGGGCAGTTTTAAAAGTTTGATACCTTTTTATGCAGCAATTTCGTCCACGGCATATTTCTCAGTATGATTTTGTTGATCTTGTGATATGCTCAACTGAGCATCCATGTCTTCGATGTAACAAACAAAAAAAACTGACACGATTAAGAAAAAGTAGGTAACGAAAAACAAACATAACGTAACAAAAATTTAACAAAAATGATAACTGAAACAACTCGCAGTGGGCAAAGCAAAGTTATTCGTGCACTCAAAACAGAAGTTAGAAGCCGAATGAGCGAATGACAAATGAAATAAAATGGCGGACAAGCCTCATCCTAGCACCGTAACTAAAAACCAGTACCAACTTGAGATTTTATACAGTCTTTTATTTATATGAATAATAAATAGAATTAAGTAGGTATGATCCTTATGAGTTAGTTATGGAACGATTAGATTTTCTGTGAACCTAATCACATCCCTATTGAAATTAGGCGGTTAACATTATTTTACGGAATGACATTTTGAAACGTCATTTTGCTGCAGTTAATAAAAAGTCGAAGGTTAGAGGAGCTCGATGCCGCGGGTGGTTAGCGCGTTCGGCTGCGATCGTTGAAATTAAGCAACTTTCGCAGTGGTCGGTCATTGGATGGGTGACCAAAAATCTTCTATCTCGAGTTCCTGCGTGCTTCGGAAGGACGCCGTTGATCCCGGCTGCATCTGCAGTCGCTGGCAACCGCCAATCCGCACTGGCCCCGCGTGGTGGGTCATGGCCCAATCTCCCTACATCCATAGGGAAGGCCTGTGCCCCAGCAGTGGGAACATTAATAGGCCGATGATGATGATGATGACGGACAAGGACGGTGTCGAGTAACCAAAACGAAAACTACCCCAGTACTGACATACTCGACTCCCTTCATTTTATTTATACTCTGTTCGTTTATCATATGTATTCGGGTAAACGACTAAGTGTAATAGCTCTTATACAGAAAGGCTAAAAAGGCATAAGAAAAAAAATGTCTGTCTTATCAAACGAAAATCTTACAGTTCCTCTCTATACAGAAAGGCTAAAAAGCCACAAGACTTCAGTTCCTCTCTATTTTCATGTAAATTTTTCTTAGTTTTCACAATTCACAACATATCAGACGACAAATAATGGATAGGACTTATGAATTTATGTCATACGCGGTAAGGCTCGCAATTGATCAGTGGAATTATTATTTTATTCCTTATGTTTAGACGCACACCTTTTATTTAATAAAACACAATTCGAGCAGAATATCACCCACACCCCATCACTGCAAGGTAAGTCAAAACTGTACATTGAATATTTTTTTAAAAGAATACTTGGGGTGTGATCTACAATCGATACCGAAACCAAAAATATAGTTTTTAGAATTTTTGTCTGTTTGACTGTATGCATGTCCGGGATAAACTCAAAAAGTACTGCATGGATTTACTTCAAATTTGGCACGAATATTATTAAGAAGTCGGGTCAACATATAGGCTACATATTATCACGCTATCACCTACGGGGAACGAGCACTGAACCTTTATTTCTAACTAACTCAACGCGTACGAAGTCGCGGGCGGCCGCTAGTTCTTTATATTACACAGGTTATATGTTTCATAACAGATCGGTGGAGTTACTCTGTATGTATGCTGTTGGTCGCAGATGACCGTTACAGCGTCACCGGGTTTGGGGACGGCGAGATCCTAAGGGGACCTCAAGCTGAGAATGAGGGCTATCGCGTCTGAAACCGCCGCTAGAGGCGCTTGTGTTGCGTGAGGTCTCCAAAATGTCAAATGTTATAGCTTGCGGGTTGACTACGCGGTTTTTTTCTAATTAAAATAATAGTTGTGAATATTTGGTATAAATCAGACTTATTATGGCAAATATGAGTTACGTGTCAATGATTGTCAGTTATTTAAAAGCGGAGCTATGAAAAAATATTGTCCTTCTTTTTTCCGAACAAAACGGGACTGCGCAACACTGTGGCATGGGCGATTATGTTTAAGATACGATTCTTTTGTATTAAAATGTAAACTTTGATATCACGAGCGTGTTTACTAACTTTAAAAGTTACACTTCAGGACCTCACTCAACAGTGGCGCCATCTGGTGAGACAAAAAACGATAGCCCTCATTGGCGAGTGCCTCTAGAGGTCTTAGTCTTAGTCTTAGTAGTACGGCGGGCTGTTTCCGCAACTCGACACCTAGTGCCTATTTTGCGTGGGGATTGGCATCAGTCCTGCCATCCCAGCTCCTCCAGAAAGCTCAGCAGTCCCCGAATGTTGCTGCAGGCCTCTACTATTGTCTTCGGGCTTCCCATTAGAGAAGTCCTTTGTCTTGCAACGCCCCTGCACTCCAGTAGGACATGGGCGCTCGTCTCATCCGCCTCCAGGCAGGCTCTGCACAGAGGGCTGTCAGAAATACCTATATTACAAAGGTGTTTGTTAAAGTAGCCGTGACCCGTGAGTATACCCACGATTTGTTTCAGGGCTTGTCTAGGTAGTCTGATTAACTTACGTGTTAGCTGCAGGTTTACCTTAGGAACGGCTTCCCTGGCTTGCCTGCAGTCCGTGAGTTTTGACCAGTAATCGTCGTGTTGTCGTTGAGAGCGCTCCCTTATCCAGGTTCGCAGCTGCCGATAGGGTATGGGTATAATTGGCTCCGGACCAATGGCCGTCCTGCTAGACCCCTCCCTGGCTAAGCAGTCCGCCGCATCATTACCCCTTGAGCCGCTGTGTCCTTTAATCCACAGTAGGGTCAATCTATTGTCGTTAGCAATATTAGTCAACTTACTGTGGCATTCGTAAATTAAGCCTGATGTCATTATATTGTTGTCCAGTGCCTGTAGGACAGAAGCGCTGTCAGAGAGGATACGAATGTGTTTACCTCTTACCCCGCGACATTCTATCGCCTCAGCAGCTCTGATGATGCCCACACACTCTGCCTGGAAGACCGTGTTATAGGCACCCAAAGCTGTCGAGATGTGTATATTCAGGTCTTCGGAGAAGACACCCGAGCCCGTACCACAGTTGGTTTTTGAACCGTCTGTGTAGACCCTCAACTCCTTATGCAGACAACGGTCCGGGGTGTCTTCATAAAGTTGAATTTTGTATTTTTTGTCAAATACGTACGTCTTAGGAATAAGGTCGTTTACTGCTGCAAAGTACGGAAAGTGCCTGTGTATGTCTGCCAAGATAATAATAATAATAAATAATAAACGTTTATTTCTTTTAAATTGTTATACATTTAGTTTTCACATTAGTAGTGTTGTAATATTAACAATAGGTATAAGGTTGAAGCGTTGATATCTGCACTAGTTTTAAAAACTGTATTGCAGACACCGGCGCCTGCCGACTCGTTATCAATAAGAGTGGTGTGCGGGGAGTTGTTGTCTCTCCAATGCCCCAGCATGCTTAGGCGCGTGGCTGTACATGCAGCTTCCTGTTGTATAAACAAGTGGAGTGGTCTCACGTTAAGTATTATCTCCAGTGCTGATGTGGGAGTGGTTTTCATGCAGCCGGTGATTGCACAGCATGCCCGCCTCTGGAGACGTCTTAACTTATTAATTGTCGTTACCTGGATTGTCTTGGTCCACCATACTACTGCTGCATAGCTGATGATGGGCCTAATTATGGTCGTGTATAGCCACTTAACAATGAGCGGTGATAGTCCCCAAGTTTTGCTAATCATTTTGCGACATTGCCAGAAAATGATGTTAGTCTTCGTTGTAGTTTTGTCTATGTGGGATCCCCAGTTCAGTTTGGAGTCTAGGGTTATTCCTAGATACTTTACCTCGTTGGAGAGCCTCAGTGTCGTGTTAAATAGTTTCGGTAGCCGATAGTCGCCTAATGATCTTTTATTCGTGAACATGACCAATTCCGTCTTCACTGGGTTCACCTTAAGGCCGTAGTCGTCACACCATTTTTCAACAACCTTCATTGCCCCTCGCATAACATCACAGGCGGTGCTCGCAAACTTACCTGGAATTATGATTGCAAGGTCGTCCGCGTAGCCCACCGTGTGGTAGCGAAGGTTGTTTAGTTTGGTAATTAAGTCGTTTACAACTACATTCCATAGCAGAGGCGACAGTACTCCTCCTTGAGGGCATCCTTTAGTTGCCAATGCTCTGAGATGGTTGTCGTCTTGTAGTCTGATTAGTCTGTTACGGAGCATGTTACTTACCCAGTATATAATGGTCTCATCGACTCCGTGTTTGCCAAGTGCGTCTACTATGCTGGCGAAGCTTGTTTTGTCAAACGCGCCTTCTATGTCTATAAAGGTGCCCAGACATAGCTCTTTCCGTCTGAGACTATCCTCTATTTTACTTACGACTGCATGTAGTGCAGATTCTGTCGACTTGCCTGGACTATAGGCGTGTTGGTTCGGATGTAGTGGAACATTGACTAGTTGGTTGTCTCTCAGCTCTCTGTCGCACAGTCTTTCCAGGGTCTTTAGCAGAAATGATGAGAGACTTATTGGTCTGAAAGATTTCGCCTCGTTGTAGTCTGCCTTACCCGGTTTTGGTATGAAGATTACCTTGACCTCCCTCCAGAGCTTCGGGGTGTATCTAAATGCAAGACACGCTCTCAGGAGGGGCACCAGGATAAGGATTAGTGCTTCACCTGCCCATTGAAGCAGCGCCGGAAAGATGCCATCTGGTCCGGCTGCCTTGAATGGCTGGAAGCTGTTAATGGCCCACCTTAACTTATCTGTAGACACTGTCTTCAATGCAGTGTTCCAGGATTGTTCCGTGGGGGTCCAGCTAGTGTCATTCCATGTATGTGTCGTGTGTATGATGCAGCCCGGAAAGTGGGTTTTCAAGTAGTACCCTCTGTGCCTCCTCAGTTGTTTCTGTGAGGGAGCCATCAGCCTTCCGGAGCTGTGCTAGGTCTTGCTGCCTATCTTTAGATAGCAGTTTCCTTACCTTATTTGCCTTTGTGCATGAGTCTATATCTGAACAAAATTTTCTCCAAGACCCATTGCTCCAATGTCGGATGCGTCTCTTGTAAAGTGCCTTGGCATCTTTGTACGCATCCCAGTCCTGGTCGTCACATGTATTCATGGCCCTGTTAAAAAGTCTTCTTACCTTTTTCCTCAGTTTTTCCAGCTCGGGACCCCACCAAGACTGGCTGGCGCCCGAGTTGGATGATGGTGTACTAAGAGGACAGGCTGTCTGATAGCTTGAGATTATAACTCTTGTTAATTCCTCAGCTGTTTCGTCTATTTTATAAGTTTCGTCTAAACTACCAGACTGCAGATGTCGCAGTGACCGAGTTACCTGTCTGCGATACTGGCTTCTGTTTGTTTTGCTAGGTATGAGTCTAGGTGGCTGGGTGACACGCTGTACCGCGATGTTGAACCTAATCCACCTATGGTCAGAGCAGGATGCCTCTGGGGAAACGTGCCAGTCAGAGATCAGATCCGCTGCTCTTCTTGATGCTAGTGTAAGGTCGATGATGGATCTGCCTCTAGAGGTATTCCAGGCGGATGGCATCTCCCCACGGGGGGAGTTTCCTCTCCGTCTGGAGCCTCTAGACCACTCGAACCTGAGGGGGGTCGGCTCAACTAGAGGGCGTCTCTGAGACTCGAACCTCGGCTTTAGTTAGCCGTTGTCATGGGGGGGTGGGGATAACGCCCAGGTACGTACCTGTACCTGGTATAGCGTGTCGTGTGTAGACCGGGTCTTCGCACTCTTATCCTACGGGTGCGGTGTCTGCCTAATGCTAAGCTAGTGTGTAAGTATGCTAGCTGTGTAGTATTGGTGTTTGTACACAGGCCACAAACACCAATACTACACAGCTAGCATACTTACACACTAGCTTAGCATTAGGCAGACACCGCACCCGGGAGACGGAGGCGCGGTTTGTCACGTTCTTAGGTTTTTTTTTTTATTATTTTTTTTTATTTATTTACCATTTAAACATATAACACAAACATTAATTAAAACATTCACAAAAAACCACATAGGGTTTAAACTAGGAATGCGTTGTTCGGACATTCACATTATTTTACATTGTTTGGGAACTGGCTTTAAACAAACCTTCAAACACTATGTAAGTTAAGTAGGTAAGTTTCTAGTTATAATTTTTATTATTTTTAAAGCATGTAACTGCTTGATGTTTAAATCTAAAGAAAATATAACTAGAAAAAATTCCACGCGGACCAGGCAGCAGACGGGACTCGAACCCGCACCCTTCGCAATCCGGGCGAATGCACTGACCAATTATGCTACCGCGGCCCTCACGGACCGCGTCGAAATTCCTTCTAGCTATTCTTAAGCTGCAAGGCAGCGCCATCTCTTCGCATTATAGGTAAACCCACAATGTCAAATGAATACTTTTACAAGTATTAAACATTTGAAAGAAGAAATAGCAATTATAGTTATAATTTTTATTATTTTTAAAGCATGTAACTGCTTGATGTTTAAATCTAAAGAAAATATAACTAGAAGGGTGCGGGTTCGAGTCCCGTCTGCTGCCTGGTCCGCGTGGAATTTTTTCTAGTTATATTTTCTTTAGGTAAGTTTCTGTTTGAGGTTAGAAATTAATCTACGGTTGGTTGATCGGTGGAGTTACTCACCTGCTTATTCCCACTGCCACCGGTCAGTTTGCTGACGATGGCGTGTATGCCAAGCGAGATTGAGCGTTGCGGACTTAATGCCTTCGAGGCGTCGCTGCCAGCTGTCGTGGGCTCAGGACTATCGGATGGTGGGCGTTCGCTCTGTGAAAACAGTGCAATTTTAAAAATCAATTACAAAGCTCTCTGCATGCACAAGCCGTCAGAAGCCATTTAAAAAAATAAAGCTCTGTAAAGTTGTACATGTAAATTAACAATATATCTAATATATAAAATTCTCGTGTCGCGGTGTTTGTGGTTAAACTCCTCCGAAACGGCTCGACCGATTTTCGTGAAATTTTGTATGCATATTCGGTAGGTCTGAGAATCGGATGTAATCTATTTTTCATCCCCCTAAATGTTAAGGGTACCCCCCCCCCCATTTTTTTTTATTTTAGTTAAAAACTTTTTTTATAATTTTTTTATGATACCTCATACAAAAATACTTACAACCCTAAATTTTCACCCTTCTACCACCAACCCCTATTTTTTTATGGCGGTACGAAGTTCGCTGGGACAGCTAGTATGTATATATATATCTAAGTAACTCAAACTCAGGCCTAGACTATTCAGTCTAGGCTGTTACAAGCTCTTGTGAAAGTCAAACGCTACGCCCTCGGTTCGGAAATCTACGTAGGGAGACCGGGAGCAGGGCTGTTTTTTTCTCCCTGTATTATATGCAGAGTCGTCAAATTGAAAAATGACTTCAATATGGGATTACTCATGAAGTCACTTTCCTGATGATGATTGTATAAACATACACGCATATGCACCATACACACAATCGCATCATACATTCCCACACGCACGCACACATTCACACACTAACACCACACACACACACACACGTACACACTAAACACACAGGTGTAATTAGTATAATTTAAATTAAAGTTTGAGGAGCTCGATGGCGCAGGTGGCTAGCGCGTTCGGCTGCGATCGTTGAAGTGAAGCAACTTTCGCAGTGGTCGGTCATTGGATGGGTGACCAAAAATTTACTATCTCGAGCTCCTCCGTGCTTCGGAAGGTACGTTAAGCCGTTGGTCCCGGCTGCATTTGCAGTCGTTAGCACCCACCAATCCGCACTGGGCCCGCGTGGTGGGTCATGGCCCAATCTCCCTATTCCATCCATAGGGAAGGCCTGTGCCCCAGCAGTGGGGACATTAATAGGCTGATGATGATGATGATGAAATTTAAGTTATTGCTGTATTATTATTTATAAGGACCGGAATGAAGGAGCGGTCTTCTTCTAATACAGGTTACTTAACTTAAAAGAAGAAGATCCACACCATGTAAACTTGATGTAGAAGAATAATAAAGATTTTTTGTATTTTGTAGGTAGGATTTGATGCATGGGTTAAAGACATGCTTAATGGGTTTAAATATAACATTTAATTCTGATTCTTTACAAGACCATTCTAATTATGATATTCAGATAATTATGGACATGATAAATTGACGCCATCGAATAATTAAAATATTATAATAAGAATTATTGACATTTTATATAGGTAATTAATATAGGTAATTTAATAGAAAAATTTGCATGTTATCTTTATATGACTAAACTAGCGGACCCGACAGACGTTGTCCTGTCTAGTATGGTAGCGCCGTCTGTCGGATCCAATGTAAAACATTCCAAAATCAACAACTACTAATAAATTAAAAATTAATTACAAAAACATTGTCCAGCGGACAAAATTGTGAATCTAAACCATTCTCAGATCCCCTTGAACACACACAAAAAATTTCATCAAAATCGGTCCAGTCGTTTAAGAGAAGTTCAGTGACATACACACTCACAGACGAATTATATATATAAAGATAGGATAAGAGACAACTTAGATGAAATGTAACACCATTATTTGTACCCTATTTAATGCAAATAAATTGAATTGAAATTTGTATTTTTGCATAAACGTTTGCTCACCTGCGCAGGCGCATGCTGTACAGTGTGGTCGAGCAGTGCGTTCACGACGGGCATGTTGGCCAGCGAGCACGCGACGAACAGCGCGGTCTGACCGCTCGCGTCGCGCGCGTTTATGTCGAAAGCCGCGCGGTACTGACGCTCGCCGTTAGCAGACCTATAATAATAATAATAATAGACCTATAATAATAATAATAATAATAATAATAATCATCATCATCATCATCAGCCTATTAATGTCCCCACTGCTGGGACACAGGCCTTCCCTATGGATGGAATAGGGAGATTGGGCCGTGACCCACCACGCGGGCCCAGTGTGGATTGGTGGGTGCTAACGACTGCAGATGCAGCCGGGACCAACGGCTTAACGTGCTTTCCGAAGCACGGAGGAGTTCGAGATAGTAAATTTTTGGTCACCCATCCAATGACCGACCACTGAGAAAGTTGCTTAACTTCAACGATCGCAGCCGAACGCGCTAACCACTTGCGCCATCGAGCTCCTCGAATAATAATAGTATAGCCTTTTATTCAGATCATTTAGTACAATGGATTCTTAAACTTATGTAAAGAACTAACATTAAGATCTTAAAGTTAATAAACAATTTAAACTAATATTTGTTGCTTAGTTATCTTTCCTAGATCTGTTTGCCAGTCGGCAAAGGCCTCCTCCAACCTTTTCCATTCCTTTCTTTCTTGAGCCACTCTGTTCCACGTGACTCCTGCTACTTGTCTAATGTCATCATCCCACCTTTTCTGTGGTCGGCCTCTCTTCCTTTTGCCTTCCCTTGGGTACCACCATGTCACCCTTTTGCTCCATTTGTCGAGTCCTCTTACCAGGTGACCAGCCCATCACCATTTGAGTCTTTTGATTTTATTTGTTACATCGGTAGTTTTTGTTTTATTTCTAATGATGATTTTTTTAACTCTGTCGGACTTTTTAATATTTAGCATGCTCCTTTCCATTGCATACTGGCAAGTTGCTAGTTTGTTTGTGGTCTCCTGATTTAAGGACCACGATTGACACCCGTACGTAAGGACAGGTAGTATGCAGGTGTTAAACAGTTTGCTTTTTAAGTTTAAATGGAGCTCTTTATCTTTCATAGCCTCTCTTAAACTCCAATATGTCCTCCAGCCATTTGTAATTCTTCTGTCTATTTCCTTCTGCATAGGATCTTTTTGAGTTATGAGCTGACCTAGATATATGTACTCGTCTGTATAGTTGATTTTTGAAATCAACTAGCAGACCTATACAAGGTGTAAAAAAACCTATGACAAAGACTAAAACTACTCATTCTGTACACCCAAACAAGTGATATTACAAAATATTGTATAATGCGATTCAAATAAGAATAGGAAAGCCAATGACCTCCATCTGTCAAATGACGATTGAAAAGTACGGTTTGCAAAAAATCTTGGAACTCTTTTTTTAGCACTCAGCTAATTCTAGAATAAAAAAACCAAACATTTGTAAACAAACATGACGACGATGACAACTCCGGTAGTTATACAGAGCTGAGCGGAATTGAAGAGCTAGATTCCGATTAATGTTTTTACTCACACAGTCATAAATGTTATTAAAAATCGGTGTTTTTTTTCTCAATCTTAGTAAATAAATTTTATTAATAAAATCTGATGTTTTTTCTCACTTAATCTTAGTAAATAAGTTTTATTTAAAAAAAACCTGCTCCTATTCTTAGTTGAATCGCATTATAAGTGGGAATCATTTGTATTTTGAGTTAAAAAAATACATTTATTGTTTTAAACTTTCATGGTCATTAACATCATAGCTGTTAACGGGATTGTTACCATACTGATACTGTAAGTATTGTGTGCCGGGAACAAGTGCGAGTGAATAGTGAGAATGTGACCAGTGGTAGGGGTATCGAGCGCAGTAGAAGACGACGTCAGAGGGTAGACCGATATGTCTGCCAATAACATCTACCCGCAACTACTTCAGTTACTCCGTGATCATGGCACTTGCAACAGTGCCGAAATATCGGAGACTCATAAAAAATCGAGCGAGCCTTACAGTAGTCGCGTATGATGTGTAACATTTGAAACCTCACCTTATATTAGTAAAAAAAAAAAAACCTACTGCAAAAGGAGTCATAAGCCATTCGAACATTATGTTCTAAAATCAAATCAAATAACGCGCGCTTCCCAAACTTCCTGTTACACACTTCCGTCCCACTTCACGTTATAACTCCCACAAATTGCACGAAAGGGAGAGGAAAGATATTACACATCTAAAAACAAGGTACATGGTAACAATCCCGTTAATAGCTATAAAATACATTTATTTTTCCAGTACGCAATGTATAGCGCGGCGCGCTACTGTGGCGCTACGCAAAGAATGTGCCTGTGTGTATGGGAGTGCGTCGTAAGTTAATCCGACTACCTAGACAAGCCCTGAAACAAATCGTGGGTATACTCACGGGTCACGGCTACTTCAACAAACACCTTTATAATATAGGTATTTCTGACAGCCCTCTGTGCAGAGCCTGCTTGGAGGAAGAGGAGACGAGCGCCCATGTTCTGCTGGAGTGCAGAGGCGTTGCAAGACAAAGGACTTCTCTAATGGGAAGCCCGCGGACACTAGTAGAAGCCTGCAGCAACATCCGGGGATTGCTGAGCTTTTTGGAGGAGCTGGGATGGCAGGACTGATGCCAATCCCCACGCAAAATAGGCACTGTGTGTCGAGTTGCGGAAACAGCCCGCCGTTCTACTAAGACTAAGACTAAGAAAAGATGGGAGTGCGTGTGTGTAAGTGCGTCGACCAAAAAGTTTCTAAATAACGTTTTGAAAATATTAATGTAAAAATCTTGAAAAAGAAAATGTGACTTTGACCTTCAATATCTCCATAATCAGAAATTTCCCAGGTGAAAAAAATGATCGTCATAATGAGGAAAATACGTGGCCTTCGACTTCGTTAAAAGTTTTTTTACACCCTGTATAATAATAATAATAATATTTCCAACACTCACACTAATAAGCCTAGCCCAAAAGTAAGCACTGTAAGGCTTGTGTTATGGGATACTAGGGTAACGGATAGAATACATATACTGTACATAACATTATAAAAATATATTTATATAGAAATACATATTAAACATCCACGACTGAAGTACAAATGCTCGTATTCATCACACAAACATCTGGAATCCCACCGGGATTCGGACCCGGGACCTCTCGAGTCGGCAACACCATGAAACCCGGCGTACAAACCACTCGGCCACGGAGGTCGTCATAATGACATGTCGTCATCATCATCATCATCATCATCATCATCAGCCTATTAATTTCTCCACTGCTGGAGTACAGGCCTTCCTTATAGATGTAATAGTGAGATCGGGCCACGACCCACCACGCGGGCCCAGTGCGGATTGGTACTAACTACTGCAGATGCAGCCGGGACCAACGGCTTAACGTGCCTTCCGAAGCACGGAGGAGCTCGAGATTAATTTTTGGTCACCCATCCAATGACCGACCACTGCGAAAGTTTCTTAAGTTCTACGATCGCAGATCCTTTTACTTACATTATGGTTATTGGCATTATGATCTATAAATTCAATATATCCCGCTTCTGGTATGTACATGATACATTTCAATGATATTCTGTTTACCAATCTTCTTCCTTTACCTTGGTTTTATTGTTATTATGAGTCAGCGTTATTTTTTCCGATTCGTAATTTTTAGAAATATATCGATATATCGAATAAAAAAAATATTTGTCAAAACATCGAGTCAATCGATATATCGTATGGTAAATATCGAATAAATTCGATATATCGATATAAAATGAATATCTCTACTCACGTGTAAGTATATAGCATATCCTGAGGGTAAGGGTACTCCAGTAACAACGTGACGAGGGAGGCATGGCCACCGATGCAGGCAGCGTGGAGAGGCAGCCATTTCTCCACAGTCTCTTGCTGGAAAAAATTAAAGTAATTTTAAATAAAAAACAAAAAATTAAGCATGTAACTGCTAGATGTTCAAATCTAAAGAATATTTTACTAAAAAAATAAAATTTACTAGAAAAAATTCCACGCGGACCAGGCAGCAGACGGGACTCGAACGCACCATTCGCTATCCAGGCGAATGCACTGACCATTATGCTACCACGGCCCTGATGGCCGTGTCGAATTTTCTCTAGCCTTTCTTAAGCTGCAAGGCAGCGCCATAAGCACCGCCAAGCAATCTCTTCGCATTGTAGGTAACCGAAATAAAAAAAAAACTTTAAAAAAATACCCCTGAAAAGTAAAAAAAAAAATTTTTTCTTTATTCACATTAATATTTAGAGCTTGGTGCCATGGCTTAGATGGCATGGTGCCATGGTGCCAGGTGACAGGTGCCATGCCAACCCAAGTAGTAAATGGGAACTCAGATCTATCAGACATGCGTGGCACCGACTCTAAATTCAAACTGACTAAAAATAAAAAAGGTATATTATTTAAAGAAAATTTACTAGAAAAAATTTCACGCGGATCAGGCAGCAAACGGGTTTCGAACCCGCAACCTTCGCTATCCGGGCGAATGCACTGACCATTATGCTACTGCAGCCCTATAATGTCTCATAATGTCACAATAAAGATAACAGGGATGATGACTAATTTTTTTTCTTCGTTTATCAGGTAGATTATCAAAAAGTATTGGACACGTATTTTTTCTTTTTTCAGATAATATAAACATTGCAGAGATATATTGATTTGAAAAGTCGCATGACGTCACGTTTTGGTACAATTTTCACTTAAAAGTGACGTCACGAGCTCCTACTCCCAAACTTTGACGCACTATAACTTTGTCATTTTTTGGTTGATTGCCCAAAGAAAAAGTACGTGTCCATTATTTTTTGATCATCTAACTGACGGACTAAATAAAATTTCGTTTCACCCCTATTCAACCCGTGTCACGGATCCTGTCGGGCACGCAACTGGAGATAAGAAAAGAGGAAGCACATTGTTTTAAACCTCACCTGGTGAAAATCTCCAATCAAATAGAACCTTCTAACCTTACTGACCAACCTCCTCAGGTTCTCCGTAGCGGTCTAGAGGCTCCAGACGGAGAGGAGACTCCCCCCGTGTCGAGATGCCATTCGCCTGGAATACCTCTAGTGGTACTCGCCAATTCTCGGCTTGAGGTCCCCTTAGGATCTCGCCGTTCCCAAACCCAGCGACGCTGTAAAGGTCATTTGCGACCAACAGCATATACACTCAAAAAAAAGCCCTCTAGTTGAGCCGACCCCCTCAGGTTCGAGTGGTGTAGAGGCTCCAGACGGAGAGGAGACTCCCCCCGTATCGAGATGCCATTCGCCTGGAATACCTCTAGTGGTACTCGCCAATTCTCGGCTTGAGGTCCCCTTAGGATCTCGCCGTTCCCAAACCCAGCGACGCTGTAAAGGTCATTTGCGACCAACAGCATATACACTCAAAAAAAAAGCCCTCTAGTTGAGCCGACCCCCCTCAGGTTCGAGTGGTGTAGAGGCTCCAGACGGAGAGGAGACTCCCCCCGTGGGGAGATGCCATCCACTTGGAATACCTCTAGAGCACTCGCCAATTCTCGGCTTGAGGTCCCCTTAGGATCTCGCCGTTGCCAAACCCAGTGACGCTGTAAAGGTCATTTGCGACCAACAGTATACATACTCAAAAAAAAAGACTGATACACAACACCACCGAAAGATAGTAGTCTCTTAAGTGACGATGGTGTTATGTAAGTACCACCCCTTAATAATGCGATTCAACTAAGAATAGGACCGACTGGACGCCATATTGTGACGTCATAGCTGTCAATTTGAACGAAATAGGTATAAAATTTATTTACTAAGATTAAATGAGAAAAAACATCAGAATTTTTGTAATAAAATTTATTTACTAAGTTTGAAAAAAGAAAACAACCGATTTTTAATAATATTTATTTATTAAGACAGTGAGAAAAAGCATTAATCAGAATTAAGCTCTTCAATTCCGCTCATCTTTGCATTACCGCCGGAGTAGTTATGAACAACCATGCACTATTACTACGTCACATACGAACATTCATCCTTTACGTAAACGAAAGTTTTAAATCGAGTTCCTGAACGCAACTTAGTGATATTTGGTTGACGATTTAGAATAACAAACATTCATAATCAAAGCTCAATACATATGAAAAAAAATCAACCAATATTATTCATCAATATTTGTTATTGTTTGCTTACAAATGTTTGGTTTTTATTCTAGAATTAGCTGAGTGATAAGAAAGGGTTTCAAGATTTTTTTGCAAACCGTACTTTTCAAGCGACTTGACAGATGGAGGTCATTGGCTTTCCTATTCTTATTTGAATTGCATAATACTTATATATTTACACGCTGGTCTACTGATCGACTCACCTGCACAGCCCTGGAGAAGTGTGGCAGCAACATCCTGGCAATCTCTAAGTGTACCTAGTGACATACACGTAAAAGCAGTCGTATCTTTGCTATGGTCTACTGGTCCAGTCACCTGCACAGCCCCAGGGCTACAAAGTGCTCAAGCAGCATCTTCATCATCTCCAACTGTCCCTGATAGCAGGCTAGCTGGTGACATCTTATCTTAAACTATTTATCTCTCTCCCTTTGTCATCTATCTTTAGAATGTCTTTACGGGATATTCTGCAGCTATATTTACCTGTACAGCCCTTGGAAAGTGCACCAGCAGCATCTTAGCTATCTCCAAGTGACCCTGGTAGCAGGCCACGTAGAGGGGGCCGTATTTGGTGATAGCATGGGCACGTCCGTCCGCCCCCGCCTCCAGTAACACTCCAACCACAGATGTTAGACCCGCCTCGCATGCACTAGCAGAACAAACGTTATTCATTTATTAATTCAAATAGTTATAATGTGCATAAAGGTGATTCATAGGTACTGAACATTTGAGCCCTGGTGGAAGCAGGGGAGCAAAGGCTGCGGGTCCTCAGATGCGATACTCGATCCTGAGGCCCCGTACAATGCCTGATGGCGGCCATCGCTGGGGTTTTAGTGGGTAGGCCACCCCCTTCTGGGGAGGAGAGCCCCTAATAACCACCATGTGGTATGCAATTTCGTACATTTCTACGGCGTACCAAAAAAAAAAGGTACTGAACATTTAAATTGCAACTTATTCGGTATTCCACGAGAATGAAAATAAAAAGCAATGGTTTTATAAAGACCTGTCCTCCGGAGCCAGAGATCCAGGTCTATGCTCGGTGATTCTTTACGTGATCGAATCAGAAATGAGGAAATCCGTAGAAGAACTCGAGTAACCAATATAGCTAAACTGATCGCCATGCTGAAGTGGCAATGGGGGAGCACATTGTTCAGCAAACCGATGGACGATGGGGTCTATGAAGGATCAGGCCTATGTCCAGCAGTGGACGTCCATCGGCTGATTATGATGATGCTGATGATGTCCTCCGGTAGTTTCTTAATAGTGTAACAGTCTCTACACAGACAGATAGTTCTCTGTGCAGAGGATGTCTAGAAGCAGATGAAACGGCCGCTCATGTGATCCTGGAGTGCATGAGTGTGGCAGAACACCGGGCATCAATCCTTGGGACGCCGAGGATGCTCCTAGAAGCCTGTGAGAGTCCCAGGAGACTACTGCGCTTCTGGAAGGAGCTGGGCTGGCTGAGCTAGCTAGCCCAATCAACCCTGCACGCACAATGGACCAATTATGAGTCTACGTGCGGAAACGGGGGCCCACAACAAGTAACAAGTAAGTGTAACAGTCTACTTCCGACAACATATTCTTCAATTATGATCATCATCATTCTATCACAGTACTCAATTCTAACTCATAAATAGACCAGTGTTCATTAATGGTTGCCAACAACTGCGTACGCAAGCAGAGACCAACGGCTCAACATTCATTCAGAAGCACGGAGTAGTGAGATATCATAAACTTTCAGTCACCCATTCCTGTCATTGCAAAGACTACAAGTTCACGGACCGAACGCGCAACCTACTGCGCCATCGATACTGTTTTCACTCCTACTAACGGAAGACGAGTAATGAATAATAGAAAAACAGTATATCGCTTGATTTAAGAACACGTTTGTTTGTATTTACATTTTATTTAATGAAATTCTTTATATTAATATGCGTTAGCTGTAAATTGTGATATCTGATTTTCTAGTTTAAAACTCCACGTTAATCCTTCACTATTTTACCTTACAATATGTAAAGAGGTCACTAGCATCAAAACCCTCGAGTGAGCAATACCTTCAGCTGCCATTACTGCGCCATCCAGCTACTCTTTAATACTATCTTACATTAATAGGTCACTAGGCTTAAAAGGTCACTAGCATCAAAAACCCTCACGTATATAACAGCGTATTGACAGCACCCGGCGTGAGGTTGACCACGAGGTCGGCATTGGAACCCAAGGCATTACTGCACCATCCAGTTCCTCTACAACGCTTTCTTACAATAAAACGCCTAAAGAGGTCACTAGCATCAAAAACCTCACGTTTACAACAGTGTGTTGGCAGCGCCCAGCATCAGATTGACACCGAGGTCGGCGTTGGATCCCAGGGCCGCCAGATGCCCATACTGTGCCATCCGCTTCAATTCTATGCCTTAAGATAACACAAGCATCAAAAACCCTCACGTGTACAAGAGCGTGTTGGCAGCGCCCGGCGTGAGGTTGACCACGAGGTCGGCGTTGGAGCCAAGTGCCGCTAGGGCTGCCTTAAGCTGGACCACGTCGCCGCGGGAGACCAGCTCGCGCAGCCGCCCGTGCTGGGTGAGGCGCTCTCGTTCCAATGCATCTGGTACAGAGAAACGGTCGAAATGAGGGTGCTGGACAGCTGGAATGAGGGGTCCTACGTAGCAGCACGGCGAGGCGTCTACACATCAGTCTAATTACTTATATTGTGTACATTTTAGGCTTCATAAATTAAGCCTTCTTGGCAGTCAAGAAAAACGGATGATTGTGACATTATTTTTTCCCAAACAAGATCGTACGCGCGTTTATTATGTCAGGCAATACAGGGCCGTTTTAAGGACCCTAACGACTGTCAACATGTCAATTAGTCACGGAACGATCGTCGGGAGATAATTATTAAAATACGTCTCAATGGTGTCAATTCTGGCATAATTCTCTAAACTTAAAACCGAAATTTAACATCAGTCTCTCCTTTTCCTTCTGTATAGAGAATGACAAAGATACACTGTTGTCAAATTTATGTTTAGGTTTAGAGAATCATGCCAGAATCGACACCATTATGATGTGAATGCCTTAAATATAAAATATATTCTTAAAACAATTAGTGTGTCAACTGTGTCAGCAGTTTAGAGTGCATCGACTCGGAATGCAAACTTAATAAAATATAATTTAAATGGCTTGTATAGATATATCAACTCGGAAATGGATCATCATCGTATCAACTCGAGCCGTTAGCCAACGCACATTATTCGGAATCGTAAAGTAATCGACTCACCTCGGAGAAGCTCATGTTGCGCGGCGAGGTGATTACGTTGCGATTTCGATTAGTCTACGTTGCAATAGGGAGTTTCATACGAAGCATACTAGACAGCTTGAGGTTATACGGTGGCGATCTTAAGTGTCGCCGCTCACGGGCCACCGACCATAACCACAAAACGCCGCCACCGGCATATTTCTTATAGTTTTCATACATTTTATATGGACTCGCCACACACGGTCCACCGCTGGCCGCCACACGCTACAAGTCGTCGTTGCTCGCTTCTTGTGGCCCGCACCGGCCACTTAATACGCCGATACAAAACGCCGCCATACGTCACTCACGCGATTCCGCACCCCTCTCTCCCTTACCTTAGTGTCGCCGCACACGGGCCACACGCCACAGCCATAGATGCTGCCACGAGAAGCAAGAAACGGCTACTAAAGTGGCTGAAGCGCGCGACAGCGGCCGACTAAGGTAAGGGAGAGAGGGGTGGGGAATCGCGCGAGTGACGTGTGGCAGCGTTTTGTATTGGCGCATTAAGTAGCCGGTGCGGGCCACAAGAAGCGAGCAACGACGATTTGTAGCGTGTGGCGGCCACCGGCGTACCGTGTGTGGTGAGTCCATATAAAATGTATGAAAACTCGAGGAAAAAGGCCGGTGGCGGCGTTTTGTGGTTGTGGTCGGTGGCCCGTGTGCGGCGACGCTTAGTCGGCCGCTGTCGCGCGCTTCAGCCACTTTAGTAGCCGCTTCTAGCTTCTCGTGGCGGCGTTTGTGACTGTGGCGTGTGACCCGTGTGCGGCGACACTAATATGGAGACAAATGGTGATAAAAAGTTCACATTCAAAGTAGACAGCTAATGGAGGTTTAATTTTTCATCCTTCGTCGTTTCCTTTCATCCTTTCCATTCCTTTCACGTCAATAGCACGCGCAATTCAGGGCGTCTCATTTGACTGAGCGCTTAACTGGGCGTGTCAGCGCATATGCATCCTTAGTAAATTATCAATCGCTGCATCTATGCGGTCTAATGACAATCGAAAACTTAGTCTAACTGTATCCAGCACACATAATTTAAATACACACAATCAAAAGAACAAGGACTCCATCTGACCTTTTTTTTTCGTCAGGAAAATGCATGATGCATACCCCGCCACCTTGGAGTGGCAACGGGGTTATGTGCGACTCCTCCCGACCCGTCCTGCCCGTCCGCTCAGCCAGTCATGGGACTAGCTCAGCGACCGCCCAGGAGGGGGGGGCCTCATCATCACCATCAGCCTATTAATGTCCCCACTGCTGGGGCACAGGCCTTCCCTATGGATGGAATAGGGAGATTGGGCCATGACCCACCACGCGGGCCCAATGCGGATTGGTGGGTGCTAACGACTGCAAATGTAGCCGGGACCAACGGCTTAATGTGCCTTCCGAAGCACGGAGGATCTCGAGATAGTAAATTTTTGGTCACCCATCCAATGACCGACCACTGCGAAAGTTGCTTAACTTCAACGATCGCAGCCGAACGCGCTAGCCACCTGCGCCATCGAGCTCCTCTACTAGGGGGGGGCCCTATCCACTGAAAACCTGACGATCACCTTACTCGGTCCACGGTCCCAACCAGCGTGGTTGAGACAACGGCACTGGATGAGGCCACGGGAACCCTTACGGAATCTTCCGCGACCTCACCAGTGAGCGTCCGAGTCGAACGGACCCCTCTCCCAACTCCATCTGACCTGATGATAAATTGTTAGAGTAACATATGCACATTTGCAGAACCAAAGTCCTCTACGCAGAGAGAGATGGAGATACAGGATTTCTTTTACGTGTATACCGCTGTCCCGCATGCTGGATCCAGCCAGATGGATGATGCGTAGAGGACTTAAGGCATTCGTACGTTGTGTAGACCTAATAATGGTAAAAGTACAGTATCGTTTCTTCCTAAACTATACCATGTAGTCTGCGTAACTCACCTCCCTCCCGCCACGGGTCGGCGAAATCATCAGCAAAATAATGCGTCACGTCGTAAGCGTCGTCAGTTGCAGCGTCGGCGTCGTCGCTCGCCTCAGTCGCGACTCGTCGCGTCGCAGAGCCGCGTCGCGAGTCACGCGACTGGTGCGTGCGGTAACGTTGCAACATCGCATCGCTAGCGTTCATCACTTATTACCACTCCCGCATTTTATTTAGGTCCCGGTATTTTTGAGTATTTATACCTTGATAAATTACACCAATCGTCTCAAAGTATATTCAAACCATTGCATGTCGTCTTAATAATTAAAATAGCAGAATAGGTAGATTCTATTGATTCTGATGATGAAAATGTTGTGCGAGTACATATAAATTATTTCATTTTCAAAGGTGCTTCCTTGATGTGATCTGACTATATTATCCAGACCTTGACTCGGAAACTAATGGCACTCTTAAAAAAGGTATTATAATGTCGAATCGTTTGGTCTTTAGCATTTCCAGCATTATCCGGTATTCTTTGATAAATTTAAACCTGTCGTCTCCTAGTCTTCTTTTTATATATGCGCGTTAAAGGAGCTCCCCTGATGTAATCTTATTATCCAGACCTTGAGCCTATCTCGGACAAACGAATGGCTCTTAATTAGAGAGCTATATAAATGGATGGTCGTACCGTACGTAATTACCGACGAAGCCTTGACTGTGTGTGTCCAAACGAGATGTATTCATAGAGTGATTAGCGGTTCTTGTAAAGTGATAATATTAATTACTAGCGGCCCGCCCTCGCTTCGTTTCGGTGTAGAGCTGAAGTGTAGACTACAGTTTTTGTTCTCAGGCTTGTATTATACACAATGACATTCATCTATGATTCTTCTTATACCTGCATGCAAAGTCTCAGCCCGATCGGTTTAAAATTGACAAAGTTTCATACAAACTTTCATTCCTATTTTATCCCCTTGGGGGTAGAATTGATCAAAATCATTTCTTAGCGGATGCCTACGTCATAACATCTACCTGCATTCCAAATTTCAGCCCGATCCATCCAGTGGTTTGGGCTGTGCGTTGATAGATCACTATGTCAGTCAATCAGTCACCTTTGAATTTTATATATATACTAGCGGACCCGACAGACGTTGTCCTGTCTACACGTCTTTGTGAATCTAAACCATTCTCAGATCCCCTTGAACACACACAAAAAATTTCATCAAAATCGGTCCAGTCGTTTAAGAGAAGTTCAGTGACATACACACTCACAGAAGAATTATATATATAAAGATATATATATATATATATATATATATATATATATATATATATATATATATATAGATATATTTCTCTAAGTGCACACATTTAAAAAACGACGTGGATATTGACGAAGAAAGCTATTAAACTGTCTTTTAACTTTTTAGAACTATAATATATACTCAAGTGTGACAAGTGACAACGTAACCCTTTGTAAAGTTTTAGCTATGCGTCCGTCTGACTAACTGTATCTCGCGAACTTTAAAAGGTAGACAGTTGAAATTTTCACACAATTTCTGTTCTTATTGCCGCCGTAATAACAAATACATAAAGATCTATACATGAAACTGTAATGTTATTAACCTTGTATAAAATTACATACATCCTTAGATCCAACTCGACATTACCCTTATATTTTGACGAAGACCTCCGTGGCCGAGTGGTTTGTACGCCGGGTTTCATGGTGCCTACTCGAGGGGTCCCGGGATCGAATCCCGGTGGGTGTCCAGTCATGTATGCTTAATATGTATTTTTATATAAATATACTTATATATGTACAGTATATGTATTCTATCCGTTACCCTAGCATCCCATAACACAAGCCTACTGTGCTTACTTTGGGGCTAGGCTAATTCGTGTGAGTGTTGAAAATATTTATATTATACTAGGATACTCAGAAAGTTTTGCGAAAAAAGTTTTTATGAATAAGACACTGGCGACTTGCGATTATTTTGAAAACTTCGATTATTTAAAAGTAAAAATATCACTGTTCGATTTTCAAATTTCCCTCCTCATTTTTTTGAGAGCCAATTAAATTTTTCTTGTCTCATTGAAAAATGGATCTGCATCGAGAACTTTTTCGTGCTATGATTTTTTACGATTTCAAATGTGGCTTAAAACCTGATGAGTCATTATATCGATTTTGAACTGCTTTTATGGATGGAAGGACCTCCAAAAGCAACCACCTACCGCTGGTGTAGCGAGTTCAAACGCGGTCGTGTTACTTTGGGGGATGAACAAAGGAGTGGTCGTCCTACGACGGCTGTCACCGAAGAAAGTGTGCTGGCAGTAAAAAATTTAATTCAAGAAAACAGACGAATTACGTACGAAGAGATTCAGCATACTCTGCAGATGGGTTCAGGAAG